TGGTCATCCTCCGGCATCAGGTCCTCCTCGCACACGGCCGGGTAGCCCTGGGGAAGCCGGCCATCCTGGTGCAGGTAGCCGCCCCGCCCCTGCGGGAGCCCCGCGCTCGGCACGCCGCGGCAGCCTTCGCCCTGGATGCTGCGGCCGCGGCAGCCGTGGGACTGTCTCGGGAGCGGGCTTTGGACTACTACGGGCTGTACGACGACCGCGGGCGCCCCTACGGCTACCCGGCCGTGTGCGAGGAGGACCTGATGCCGGAGGATGACCAGAGGGCCACGCGCAATCTCTTCATCGGGAACCTGGATCACAGCGTATCTGAGGTGGAGCTCCGACGGGCCTTCGAGAAGTACGGCATCATTGAGGAGGTGGTCATCAAGAGGCCTGCCCGTGGCCAGGGTGGTGCCTATGCCTTTCTCAAGTTTCAGAACCTGGACATGGCACACAGGGCCAAAGTGGCTATGTCCGGCCGGGTGATTGGCAGAAACCCCATAAAGATAGGCTATGGCAAGGCTAACCCCACCACCCGCCTCTGGGTGGGTGGTCTGGGACCTAACACCTCGCTGGCAGCCCTGGCCAGGGAATTTGATCGCTTTGGGAGCATTCGGACCATCGATCACGTCAAAGGAGACAGCTTTGCCTACATCCAGTACGAGAGCCTGGACGCAGCCCAAGCCGCCTGCGCTAAAATGAGGGGCTTTCCCTTGGGTGGTCCGGATCGCAGGCTCAGGGTGGATTTTGCCAAAGCAGAGGAGACTCGCTATCCCCAGCAGTACCAGCCCTCCCCTCTCCCTGTGCATTATGAGCTGCTCACTGATGGATATACCCGGCATCGAAACCTGGATGCGGACCTTAGGGTGCGGGATAGGACCCCTCCACACCTCCTCTATTCAGACCGGGACCGGACCTTTTTGGAAGGGGACTGGACCAGCCTCAGTAAAAGTTCGGACCGCAGAAACAGCCTGGAGGGCTATAGCCGCTCAGTGCGCAGCCGGAGTGGTGAGCGCTGGGGAGGAGATGGGGACCGGAGTATAGCCAAGCCCTGGGAAGAGAGACGCAAGCGGAGGAGCCTTTCCAGTGACCGTGGGAGGGCAACTCATTCCCCTTATGAGGAACGGAGCAGGACCAAGGGTGGGGGACAGCAGTCTGAGCGAGGCTCGGACCGCACCCCTGAGCGTAGCCGAAAGGAAAACCACTCCAGTGAAGGGACCAAGGAGTCAGGCAGCAACTCCCTCAGCAACAGCAGACATGGTGCGGAGGAGAGGGGCCACCATCACCACCACCACGAGGCTCCAGACTCTTCCCATGGAAAAAAGACTCGAGAGAGTGAACGTAATCATCGGACCACTGAGGCAGAGCCCAAGACTCTTGAAGAGCCAAAACACGAGACCAAAAAGCTAAAGACTCTTTCCGAGTACGCTCAGACACTGCAGCTGGGTTGGAATGGGCTTCTAGTTTTGAAAAACAGCTGTTTTCCAACATCTATGCACATCCTAGAGGGGGACCAGGGAGTTATCAGCGGTCTCCTCAAAGACCACACTTCTGGCAGCAAGCTGACCCAGCTAAAGATTGCCCAGCGCCTTCGACTGGACCAGCCCAAGCTGGACGAGGTCACCCGTCGCATCAAGCAGGGGAGCCCCAACGGCTACGCAGTGCTCCTAGCCATCCAGTCAGCCCCCAGTGGGCCTGGCACTGAAGGGGTGCCCGCGGTGGAACCAGGCCTACAGAGGCGGCTTCTCAGGAACCTGGTCTCCTACTTGAAACAGAAGCAGGCTGCAGGGGTGATCAGCCTGCCAGTGGGTGGGTCTAAGGGCAGAGACAGCACGGGCATGCTTTACGCCTTCCCACCCTGCGACTTCTCACAGCAGTACCTGCAGTCGGCACTACGGACCCTGGGCAAGCTAGAGGAAGAGCATATGGTGATAGTTATAGTCAGAGACGCTGCCTAGCCCGTACCTGCTCTTCCAGCTGTGTTTGTGTCACAGAGCAGTTATGTTAAAAACTGCTCCCTTCCCTACCCACCTTACCTCCTTGGTTTCAATTCTCTGCTGGGTTGTTCTGGTTCATTTGGTGGCATCCTGTCCACTGCTAAAACTAAGCTCATGGGTCTGGGGCTTTTTGTTTTTTTTTTTTTTTTACAAGAAAAAAAAACTGTTGTGTTTCCCATGTATGAGATACTATCTGCTGTATTCTGTATTTTTTTATTCTTTTTTATTTTTATTTTTTTGACTAACTGTATGGAAAGTTGTCAGTAAAGCCTTTGTCAGAGGATGAATTTTTTTAATCTGACCATAGTCCTGGTTTAATCAGGTTTTTTTCTTAAAAAATGGAAAACTGCCCTCAGTGCATGATCTATGTATGTCCTGTTTTGGGGACCACTGCTTCTAACAGTTGTGTCACGTTCGTGGTGCCCAGCTCTTCATCTGTCTCTGATGGCCAACAGGCTTGTGTGACGTGGGCCCTTACACCACCCTGAGCAGAGCCCATTAGAGGAAGGGCCTGGGCCTAAGGTCTGAACCAACAGCTACAGGTAGTTTTTATTGTCTTTTCCCTGTCCTAAGTGTGCTTCAGTTTGAGCTATGGCCGTTAGACAAGGTACCTAATTCTAAAGCCTGTTGGACAGGGAGGGTAGTTTTCATTTTGTGGTCTTGCATTTGGGGGGGAGGAACAGTGCAATATTGATGCTGAGGGGCCTTGTGCCTAACCTGTCCAGGCTCCCTCTGGATCAGTCTTTAGTCTTAATGTAGTTTAGGGTCTCTAGTATCAGGTCAGCTGCCTGGGAACCAGGGGTCCTGGAGGCAAGTGGTGGGATGCAGGGTGAGAAACAGCCTAGCTTGGTTAACCCTTCAATGTGCTTGTGATTTGGGACTTTCTTTGGTCTTTCAGGGTTGTCAGTAGAGTGAGCCTGTGCCACAGTCAAACCTAGAGGCTTATGGCCAACAGCAAACTCCCCAGCTACAATACTCAGTGCTGCAAGGGAATACAGTGCCAGGAAGATGTCCTTGATGAGTGACATAGCGTTCCCTGCTGATACACAGATGAGGTAAGGAAACAGATCATTCTCTGTGGGAAAGAAGTCACAGTTGCTAAATGATAGGCTAGAGCCCAGAGCCACATCAGCTGGGCTAAGGAGGAAACAGACTGAGGCTTCCTCAGGCTGGGAGGGGAAAGCGACCTAAGGAGTTTTAGGTTCTGCCTTTGCTGTCTCAAGTAGGAAGTTAGATCAGGCAACAATTGTCGCCACAGATCACAGCTAGGCTAGGATGTTCCAGGTTGGGTAGTCCAAACCAGTCAGGCTTAGGAAAATGGGAGTCCTCGTTAGGGGTTGGTTCTGGCCCACTTCCTCAGGCAGCACCTGTACCCTCTGGGCTCTGAGATAGACCTTGGAGGTTATATGGAGTTCTTGTCTGTCTACACGGACAGAAACTCTGGGAATTGGGTAAAACAGTGACTTTCTTCTCACCAGGCCTTGGCTGGTATTCATGATACCAAACATGTCTCTAAAACAGAGGGTCGCAACCCTTTTGACAAACTTGTGTCACCAGAAAATATTTACGTCACGATTCATAACAGTAGCAGAATTATAGTTATGAAGTAGCAATGAAAATAATTTTATGGTTGGGGTCACCAGCACAAGAGGAACTGTGCTAAGAGGTCACAGTATAGGAAGGATAGGAAGGTTGAGGACCGCTGCTCTAAAGCATTAAGAAGAGTGTTAACGTATCCTTGAGCTGTGGTCACTGCCTTCATTGGAGCAAGTCAGTCAGCCTGGTGTCCCAACTACTTCAGAATTCTTTGTCATACCGCCAGAAACCAGAGCAAGCCTCATCTTGAAGGCCTGTTGCTGTTTTTCTTGGTATCTTGAACAATGTCATAGAGCAGCTACAAAGCAAGTTTCATCCCCCAAGTGCACCCTTCCCAGGCAGAACCAAGACACCCCGGCCCCAGCTTTAACCAACCCGTTCGGAAAGAGTCACCCTTCGGCTCCAGTGATAACCACTGTTTTCTTGGTAAGACCCACAACCCACTGTGACCTTCCACCTTGGACCACTTAACCATCCTAATCACTTCCTTTTAGTCCTTAAGACGTAACAGGTTCTGTGGCCTCCTAGCCAGCCCTGCCAACACTAAAGAAGGTGTGGGTCAGGTAACCAAGGCCTTGTCTGGTCATGACATTGTCTCCAGTGAGAAAGCCAACAGCAGGTACCCAGCGGCTGAGATGTTTCATGAAGGCAAAAAAACAAAAACAAAAACAAAACAGAGCAGACAAAACCCCCTAATGGGTAGTGTTTTTATACCGTGTCTTCCTAAGTGACTGAGGTTCTGAACCCTAGTAGAACAAGGAAGGTAGATGTTTTCTTTTAGTCTCATGAAACACATTCCTAAGGGAGTGTTGTCAAGTCAACCAGAATTGTGCTTTCCTATTAAATGTGCCCGTCTCCACCTTGGGAGGCCTGTGGGTGCTCCCAAGAGCTCCTAGCAGATGAGCTGAATTAGTGATGGTGCAGTTTTGCTGCTTTCTCTTCAGCTGCATCCATTGCCAGCCATCAGACTTGTACTGGCTGTTGTCAGTTAACCAGTTAATGCCAAGGCATGAAGCAGATGAGGAGCTGAGGCCTCGGCTTTTACAGGAACAGGATGGATGTGCCTCTGTGGTGCAGGCCATTTCAGTGTGACAGGTTGTGTTCCTGAGTGTAGCAGGTTCTACCTACCCCTGGAGAGTTTTCACCATCTTGTGTTGCTTGTTTATACCCAATGCACCCTTCTCTCAGTAAAGGGAGAGGTGTCTCTGTGGCTATGTAATTAATGCCTATGTAACAGAAACCGAAGCTACCATTTTGGCAAAATCAGAGAGAAATTAATGTTTTATATTTATTGTGGGAAGAGAAATGGTGGGATAAACAAAACATGAGCCCCTGATACTTTCAGACCCGTGAAGTTTTTCTCCATATCCAACGTGACCAAGCCTCAAGTACCCCTCAACTCCTAGGACTGAAAAAGACCTAGGGGTGGCCAGACTGCTCCTTAAAGGTCCCACACACGGTGATAGAGATGCAGCCCTACTCCCCTATCTCCCCACCCCCACCCTGTTATCCTCACAAGGACTCCAGCAACTTGAGGCTAGGCTCAAGTGACTAAAGTACTGTCTGCCCTGTGAGATCTGCTGTGGGAGGCTCTGCCTTCCTTAGGTCCCCTGGTCTGGCCAGAACTGTGAGGAGGTGGAGAAGGACACCCCACCTCAGTAAAAGAAAACAAGGAAAGGCCATAAACAAAGACAGACTTGTAGTTTATTTTGTATTTTTTTTAAATAAATACACTTTACATTAAAGAAAAAGACCTTTGATTTGTAATTTCCACATTGGGGAGAAAGGGAAGGAAAAAAGACTTTCGAAAAACTGAATCACAAAGAGAGAGAGGGAGTGAATTTATACCCTTAAAGTTCTCTCAACTCCACAAAAACAAGGTCTACACAACTGCCTGGCTACCAAGGTAGGAGTTAGGCGTTTTCCCAGTAGTAGCAGGACATGTCTTCCATTCCCGCTCTGGCACAAAGGAAAACAAATGAACTTGACAGCGTATGAGGCAACAAAACAGGTTAAAAAAAATCATATATTATATTTATAATAAAATATTCTTAATCCTTATCAATTTAAGAAACCACGATTTTCCTCTTCATTTAAATACGTATGTAAAAATGCCTCTATATTGTTCTTTAGACATCATTTTCTTCCAAAGAAAATGAAGTGCAGGATAGGAGACTGGTGGATATAAGTTCAGACCCTCAGTTATAAATGCCTGTTGCTTTTTTTTTCTTTTTAAAGTTTTATAAAAAACTATTTCTTGTTCTTTAAGTAAAGAACATTATACAAAGAAAATATATTGTGAAATACCCAGAGACATGTTTGTTTTTCCCTTGAGGAAAGCTATGTCCGTCCTAGGAGGAGGGGACGCAAACTAGGGCCTAGTCCCTGTAGTCTTTTTTTGTGGTTGTTATTGTTTTTAGAAGGGCCCTCAGAGTCAGGGAGAGTCTAAACCAGTCCTCTGAATGCAGGGCATACAGCTCCTTAACGGACAGCCCTGGGAGACAGCAAAGGCAGGTGCTCTGAATTCATTCACTCAGTTTCTCTCGCCTGCCAAGATTCTCTTCCAAGTGGGGATGGCACATCACTCATTCAGAGATATGATGATGTCATCTTCCAAATCAGAGTTGTCCGAGCTGTCTGCTGAAAGGTAGAGAAGGGAGAGAGAATTATGTGCTAGGATTGTAGGAGACCCTGCATTCAACACACTTATGCCTGAGCAGGGTTAATTACCACTTTCCAGAAAGTAGAAAACACAGCAATTAACTCCTTGGAGCTTGGCTCCAGAGAATATGCCTGTTGCTGGCAACAATGGACACCCTTGGGACCTCTGGTCCTCTTGCCTTTCAAAAGACCTGAACCTAGAGGCCCTGCTTCCTGCCCGGGACACCCCAGAGGGATCAAGTGTCCTCAAGCCTTCACCTGGGCACTGGGCTGCAAAGGGACAGGACTGAGAGGAGCAGAGGTCTTAGCTCCAGGCTTATTGTCTCCTTATGGCAGGATCATTGGCCTTACCCCGAGGAAGCGCTAAAGAGAGGCTCACCGGCTATAGTGAGTTCTAGGCCAGCCCGAGTTAGAGTAAAACCCTGTCTTTAAAACAAAATGTTATCAGGGGAATTGAAGTAGGGGACAGGAAGAATGACATCAACAGTTCAAAGTAGCAAATACAAAGGATAAACAAGTCTAGAGTCCTAATATACCACACAAAGACCATATCGATGAAATTACATTATAGATCAGACTAATAAGATTTTTTTTCTTTTTTTAGCTGTTCTTGCCATAGGAAGCAGGTGACGGTTGGATGGTGGGCATGTCCATTCTTCACTATAGTAACCTTTTTACATAAATCTTATACTTTCATGATGGATACCTTAAATGTACATGCTAATTTTTTTTTAGCAGGGAAGGTTTGGTTTGGTTTTTCAAGACAGGGTTTTCTCTGTGCAGCCCTGACTGTCCCAGAACTTGCTTTGTAGACCAGGTTGCCCTAGAACTCACAGAGATCTGTCTGCCTCTGCTTCACAAGTGCTGGGATTAAAGGCATGCACCACCACCATCTGGCACTAAAATTTATTTTTAAAAACAGGCTGAATCCCTTTCTCTAAGCCTCAGGAGCCTACAAAGACAGATGATCCTAAGACTCAATCCTTGGAATGCAGATACAGAAGAACCAACCATCCACCAACAAGGAGGAGGCCACAAGGAGCATGGAGACCAAGGGCCCCACCTTAATGTGCAGACAAGGAATTAACACTTCTAGAACGATCCATCAAGGAATGAAACTAAATGATAGGAAAGGAGCCCCTCAAAGCCAGGTGTGAGGGACATTATCTATAATCCCACATTCTGGATAGGTCAGCCTGGCTGCAGTGATTCCATGTTCTAACCCTTCCCTCCACCAAAAGATCCTCAAAATAAAAATACATCATGCCTATCTGATAAAAGTTAAAATTAGTAAATAACTCCTAAGGCCTAGTGTTTGTTCAAGAAGCTAGGAAACGGGGCCAGTAAAGTGTCCCTGCACCGATCCTATCAACTTGAGTTCTACCCAGGAGTCTAATGGTGGAGAGAACCAGATCCACAAACTGTCCTCCTCTGACCACACACTCTAGAAAGCAGGCTCTCTCCCTACACATAATTTGAACTTTTTAAAAAAATGTATATATGGATGTTTTGCCTGTACGTATACCTGAGCAACACATGGATCTAGTGCCCGAGTAGGTTAATAGGGCATCAGATCTCCTGGTTCTGGAATAACAGATGGTTGTGAGCTGTCATGTAGGTGCTAGCAATCAAATCAGGTCCTACAAGAGCAAGTGCTCTTAACCACTGAACCATCTCTGCCAGCCCCTTAAATTTTTTTTAATAAAAAAGCTGTAGAAATATTTTCATGAGGTTCCCAGGAACGTGGGCAAGCCCAAGTCCTGAAACACCTGGACTCCGGCATGTCCGTGTGGAAAAGGGTGCCCACAACACCTCTCCAAGGTACCCAAAAGAATTCTAGGGCAAGGTGAGGAAGGAAAAGTGCATGTTCCCAAATCTTCACTCTCTGTAACGTCCTTATGAAAAACAGTAAAACAAAAACAACAGCGCCGACACAAGAATGTCCTTCAAATAAAAGAGATGGCCTTGCGGGAGAGGACAAAATCAGTGTTCACAGGATCCAAATGGATACAAACATGGCCCAGCATGGCAAGGATTTGGAAAACACAATGGAGTGGTCACAGAATGAGAAGCTGACACTTGAACCTGAACAGCTAGCAGCTTCTCAGGAGGTAAAACCTCCAGAAGGAAGGCAGTGTCTACTCCCCAGAGCCACACACAGCACCTGTCTCTCCAGACTCCTGTAGACCCCTACAGAATCTCCTCCAGGGCTTGCATTATAGGTATGCCAGCAATGCCAGGCCCACTTCTCTGAGAACCTCCCTAGGAAGTCAATCCCCCCACTGCGCAAAAAAAAACAAAAAAAAAAAAAACACACACACACCCAAAATTTAAGTCCGCATTACATCTAAGGACTGCTCCATAAGGATCACAGCAGCTAACGGTCAGGTGACAGGACACCTTTTATCTACCTGCCCTGGCCTTTTCTCAGCCCCAGATGTTGCAGTGACCCAATATTCACGGCCTCTGGTCAGGAGCTCCCATTCTGAATGCTGTATGCAGCCAAGGCAAACATTCCAGTGTTCTGACCTGTTGTTGCCTTACAACATCCAGGCTTGGGAGCAAGGGGTCTCCAGAAGCAAAGACACAAAGACCCTGACGACAACATGCCTCTCTCTCAAGGACTATCATTCTCTATCTGGAGCTGTATCCCTGCAGGACCCAGGGCCTATGCAAAGTCACATGGCAGCCCATAGAGTGTGGGTCTCTCTGGCTTTCACTATACCCTAAAAAAGACTCCGTAAGTTCAAGAAGAGTTCCTCCAGGCAATCAGAATAAAGCTTGTAACAATAATACTTATGAGGAGTTTAGTACAATCAGTCTGCTCTACAGACAGCCACTACGAATAGCAATATCCACGATGGACAATCCATAAAGAAATACAGGACAGCCTTCAGGTGCCACCTCTGTCTCTCAACCCAGAGTCCAAGCAGAAATAGCCACACTTTGTCATGTATATGTCAATATTTACACCTAGGTTATAGTGGCAATATTATTATAACGTACAGAATTAAAACTTTCCAGATTACCTTTGCTTTGAGAGAAGAAATTTTCAGAATGACAAAAGGAGGGTATACTGTTACCAAATACAAATTGAGAGAGTTTATATTCAAATTAAGAATGGAAAACCTGAAGCTGGGTGTGGTGGCACAGCCTGTAAACCTAGCACTTGGATGATGAAAGCAAAAGGATTGGGATCTTGGGGCCAATCTTGGCCACACAGTACCACTATGTTAGGTGACTAGGACAAACTGGGGATCTGGGATGACCATGCTGCCCCACATAAAACCAGGCTTCCTTGGCTGAACCAGCACCTGGTGTCACTGTGTAGAAGCTGAGGGCAATGTGCATTAACTATGTCACTGCTGCCCAGGACGCAGCTCCCCACACACACACACACCCGCTTCCAGAGAAACACTTAAATGTCAACTGTCCCTGTCAGACCCAATATAGAACTTAAAGTGTTTTTCATAACCAAAATGTATCATCTCAATACAAGCAAGCAAGGACTATGCTAAGGTATCTAGAAGGCAAGTAGTCCCCAGAAGTGGGGATGTGCACAGTTCTGTCAAAACAACAAAGTCCAAGCCCTAGAAAAAGTTGGAACATGGAACAGGCTCCTTGCCGCAAGTAACACTTAAACCCGTCTATCACCATGTGGGTGTCCCTGCTGCTCTGTCAAGACTCCTTCCATTTTTCTTTGCATTTAATGGGTAGAGGTTTAGAAACATTACAGAATAAAAAAGCCCAGATATCTTCGCTCCTCTGGTGATTAAATGCACATTAGCCCATCTATGTGTCATTTACTGTTGTAAAGCATGAGCAGAAGCTGGAAGTGTCATCTGGATTGTTGGGACACGGTCACTGGTAGCGGCTCTCTGCTTTCATTCACTGCCCCCATCATGGATTAAGTACACAGCCCTGTGAATGAAGGCAGTTGTCAGGGTTAGAGTAGGGGGTAGGAAGGTTTCTCTATTTTATCTGTGATCGGAAGAAGTTTTATTTTCACTACCTGGATAATTATATTCCTCCCTTTCTATGGAGATATTGTACTGGTTAAAAACAGGGATTCAGTTCTTTAGAATATGCAATCTAGCTACCTCTTGCCATAAAGCAGACAGGTTTGAGTAAAAATGGGAAACCAATAATACTGTAGCCCTTAGTAATACTACAGCTTTGTTGAGCCCCTCCTTCAAAAATAGTTTTTGATTAATTCTGTCTGGAAATGTTTTTCAATCTTGTGTTTTGCTAAAGTATTTTTTATTTAAAAACAAATGAAGTAACTCTTTCTTACATATGGACTGACCCCGCCTCCTGCATCATTAACTGCTGTCATTAACTGAAGGGAGGGATAATTTCTCTCTAAGACCTCACTATTGATATTTTGCTAAAATGTCTCTGGATCCTTCTTACCTGGCTCTCACTCAGGTCACGGTCGGGAGCTAACCCACAGAATCATCTCAACCTTTAAATATGATAAACAGCAGATAACCCCCCCCCAAGAACTTCCTCAAATAACTCCTAAGAGCGCTTGCTGAAAGATCTCTGCTAAGGCAATCAGCTGTCTGCCTTAAGTGCCACCAGCACAAGAGAGAGAGAGATCTATGCCAAAGAAAATGGACTTCCATCAGCGGTGAAGGCACCGCACACATGACAGGGCTATCTTATTTGTATGCTTTTAAATCTGCCACCCATCTCTTCTACCAGGAAACATGATCATAAACATAAGGCCCTCTGAGGAAGAAGCTTGGCATTTGCTTGGCCTGGGCCATCACAACACTTCTGTCACGAGAGTAAGTGATGTGTGTGTTCTTGCTGCTCGGCACAGTAACACCATGTGGCTGCAGAGCATTTGAAAATGAGAAGCTAATTTTTATTTTAATTAAATGTGAACATCCCTCTGTGATTAGTGCCTAGCATTATTAGACACAATACCTATCACGCCTGTGAGAATGGTGGGTATGTTAGCTAACGGAGACAGGGATCACTCCTCACTCAGGCAGGGCAGCAATACAAAGAACCAGGACCACAGCTGGCAGAAGTCTGCCAGCAGTGGCACTTTCAGCAAAACTGAGATATGTCAGAATGCAGTGGTGGCGTTTGCCCAGTCTTAAAGCTGCTGGTTGGTTTATTCGGGATTCATTAGCAATGGCAGAAGACAGTTTCAGAAATCCACTAGTGGGAAATCACTACACAAGCTAGAGCTTGTTCTTCAAACTTTGGAACAAGAAGTGGGGGAGGCATGAACGAAACAGATGCACTTGTACCTCAGCCTTTAAGGGGACTAGAACAAAAGAAGACTGGAAAGGACTGTCCCACAAAAGGCCCTTAGTTTGTATGCAACAGTCGCAAAGGCACAGCAGCCTGGGAGGAACTGCTTCTCACTGATTTCAGCCTGAGCCTCGACTGACAGCTATGCTTTGGCCTTCCTAAGGCCAATCAATCCTTTAAAGAAGGAATTCAAAAGCTATAAGCTCATCCCTATTTTGTAAGTAAGTTTTATTAGAACACAGTCATAAACATACGTTTGGCCTGTGACTGCTTTCTCATTATTACAGCAGAGCTGAGTGTCTTATAGAGACATAAGACCCAGGAAGCAAAAAAAGCAATGAGTTTGCTCTGACAGAAAAAGTTTACATGCCTTTGGTTAAAAGGAAAGAGGTGGGAGCCAGCTGGAATGATGTACAAAGTCTAACAGGAGAACAGGGGTTACTGACACCATACTGCTGCTCCTCAAGGGACCAGACTGCTGAATCAGCAGAACCCAAGCACAGCTATCTTCTGGTCTGGGTTGATACAAGGAGGACCTGGCTCACTCATCCCAAACTCTGCCCTATACTTACTGTCGCCCAGGATCAGTTCCACTTCCTCATCTGCATCAGAGTCTTCATCTTCCCCCTCCTCTCCCTCCTCTAGAAGGTTTGCTAACTCCTCATCCGAGGGAGAGAAGTCGTTGTCTCCATCCTCTCCTGCATTCTCATTGTTGTCATCCTCCTCCAGTTCTGCCTCCAGCAACTGGTCAGTGTCAAGTTCATCTAAATCATCGGTGTCGTCATCATCTTCATCATCATCCTCTTCCTCCTGCTCTTCCTCTTCCTGGTGAGAGAGCATCAAGTCCGTAAGGACAAACACAAAGGCTTAAACCCATATGGGCCATGTGGTGATTCCTATCCTAGGAAATACAGGGTGTACAGAGGAATAAACTGTTATCCATGACTACTGGGACAGGCACACAAGTTCAAGACATTTGAAAGCCCCCTCAGCAAGAATTACAGGTCCCTCCACAAGGTAATACTGGTCATATAGCCGTTATGCAAAGAAATAGAAAACCTGCCTCTCATGTGTCTAAAACTACCAATAACCTTCAAAGACCGGAGGGATTCTTCTGCCTCCTCCATCAACTAAAGTGAGGGAACTTAACTCAGACACTGGAACAAAAGATTTGCACGGAAATCTGAAGTCCCATGTTCTAGTGAACAAAGAACACAGCTGCTGCACTGCCCGCTCCTATAGCCCTGCACTCATGTATTCCGTCCCACATAACAGGAGAGCCCTTGCAGAGCTATTAAGCACTCAATGTGAACATTTCAACAAATGAGGCACACAAGACAGAGTATATAAATAACTACTCTTTCCTGTTACAAAGCAATAAATCAATCAATAAATAATGTGCCGAGAAACAGTGAAATATTTTCTCTAGGTATCCCGCTGCTCACATAAAAAATAAGCACACTGTTGACAAGGCCCTGGGTTCAAAAAAAAAAACCAAACAACCCACAGCTATGATATAAGCCAGACTTGTTAACAAGCAGCTCTGCTTCTAGACCTGATCATTTGGAACAACCATTAAAGACTTTTTAACACACATAGATGTGTGTGTCTGTGTGTTCTTTGCTGTCAGTACAGGTGGGCACACATGCAACAGTACACATGTGGAGGTCAGAAAAACCACTTCCAGTGTTGATCCCCTCTTTCATCTTGTTTTTAAGTCAGGATCTCTTGTTCTTCAGCCACAGTATCTAGCATGGTCTGCAAGTTTTTGGGGATTCTCCTGTCTCACCTCACTATCACTATAGAAGTTTTTGGGATTACAACTGCTTGCTACCATAACCAGCTTTGTGTGGGTTCTGGGGGTTCAAGCTCAGGTTCATGCTTGTGTGGCAAGCACATTACTCATTCAGCTATTTCCCAACCCATAGAGACTCCCTGATAAGCTGCTGGATGTAGTGTGTGTGCACGTGTGTGTGAGACACATGCTGTGTCACAGGTCGGTATGCCCAGCTTACCAGTCTAAAATTCAAATTTGAAACCTGGATCATGGAGCAAAGGCTCACAGACCTGTGCTGAAACCCAAAAGCAGAGTCTAAGGAAGCAACATTTAGAGTCAAAGACCTCAGACAGCAGAGCCCCTCTCTTGTCTATGTACTGGATCTCATGTAAAGTGTTGGCCATTGTTGTTCTAAATCTTTACTGAGGATTTAAGACAGTTTAGAGGAACTGAGAACGAGGCCATTTTAAAGGCTACTAATAAGTTTTAGAACAAAATGAAGTAAACTCTTTTCTCTCTGAATTCATCTCAAGTCAATTTCATGATGCTCTAAAGTTCCAATGTTTCCTGACAGATCAAAGGCAAAAACTCCCTCCTCTGGCCTCTGACCCTAAATGTGACATTGGCAAGCTTCCTGCTGTGGACCTGAATCCACCTTGAAAGCCTGCTCCCACAGAAGTGTTTTCACATCCCTGCCTCAGATACCTTCACACTTCCTCCACTGCTGCTCACTTCTGCAAAGAGACTGAGCTCCCCACACCTAACAATTTCTCATTAGTACTCAGGTTCCACGTGCCTTCTGCCTATCTACTGCTAAAGAGGAAATAAAGCCGTCTCTGCCCTGACACTCAGCTGCCACTACACCACTTGAAGCTTAGTATTCACCTCACAGAGGGACAACTGACTTCTGCCTGTGCCACTCCACAGTACAGTGTCTCTGGAATGAGGCTGCCTCCACTAAGCTCAAACTCTGTTAGCATGAAGATCAACTGTGGGGTGGTTTTTTAAGTGGTATTTTATTTGTTTTTGGTCTCATTATGTAGCCCTGGCAGTCCTGGAACTTACTATGTAAACTAGCCTGACCTTAAACTCACAAAGGTCTGCCTGCTTCTGCCTCTCCGATGCTGGAATTAATGCACCACCATACCTGCCTAATTTAAGTGTTTTGTGTACATCTGTTTGTTTCCTTTGTTTAATGTATGTGTAATGTATCTAAGCTTTTGGTAAGTGCTTAATGTACATACAATGTTCAGTGAGTGAGTTTGTTGTTCTTTTGATAAGCACAGAACACTCCGTGCAGAGTATCAAAACCTAAATAGTCATCATCAAGCTCCTCTGTAGTAAATGTCACCATTAATGTTGGCATTTAAATTGGCAGTAAATGTCACCAGCCATTGTTAGCTTCTAAACTGTATTATTAGCCTGATCCTTGGTTTTTTCCCCTAAGCATATTGTTTTTATTATTTCTGTCTCACAATAAAGAAATTAAAAACTCATATAGTTTTACAACCAAACTCTGGCTGCTTCTAACAGCCTTCGTCTATCTTCTCTCAGTTACAGGTCAAAATCTGAAATTTACTTAAAATTCTCTCGCTTCCTTGGCTCTACTTCTAGTTGACTTATTTCTCAAAAACTGGGGTCTCCAACACCTCCCCCTCCCCACATACTGCCCTCAACTACTGCACCATCCTGCTACCCATTGGGCTCCAGCTCTGTATGGTCTATTCCCTTTCAGAAGCTAAATATCCCAAAGGCTCTGCGACATATCCTACAATGGAGAGTGGCAAAAACCAGCAATGGCCATTTACTGCAAATCTATCAAATGCCAAATTCTCTGAATCTCAATTTCTTATTAAATGAAGTGCTCAGATTAAATCAGGTCTACCTCTCATGTGTGACCATCAGAATCATCTGACAAATGATTTTGCAACTGCCCAACCTCCAGCAAGGATGCAGAATGGTAAGTCAGTTTTTCTGCTGTTTTTTGAGGCAGGGTCTCACTATGTAGCCCTGGCTGAGCTGGAAGTCACTATAGTAGACAAAGTTGGCTTCAGTGGAACTCAAGAGATCCAACTGAGTGCGGGGACTAAAGGCATGTATCGCCACATTCGGTAAGGAGATTTTAGTAGACGAAGTTTACACAAGTAGAATTGTAATGTGATCCCTAATTAAGAACCATGTAAAGATGCCAGCTAAAGGAGTCACAGCTCTCAAGCTCCACTTTTCTGTCCACCTCACCTTCCCAAGGACAGAATCATGGAAGTGAATCTAGGCAATTCCATTAGCCACCTATGTTATACACCAAACTGCCTGGTTCTTCAGGATTTGTGCAAAATTTTCACATGTATACGTAACTTGTTTAGTGTGTAGCATTTGTTCATAGATAATTCAAAAATTCTTTCTGAATATCTGTTTTTCAAGAGAAATGGCTTTTAGCCTTTATTTTCTTCCAAAATAAATCAGTCAGAAAATCAAATTTCTGGCCATCCTTTAAGAACAGTTAATCTAAAAACAAGAATAGTTTTAAAGATGTAATGAATTCAGATGCATTCCTGCTGTCCAACACTTAATGTGTCATATCTACGTACCTCACACTTCTACTTCTTTAGCACCTAAAAGACTACAGGTTTTTTCAGTGTCAACTACATGGTCTTTCCTTACAAACAGAATTTAACTCAAGTATATTTTTTTTTCTTTTTAAGGAAAAAAAAAAGACCCTTTCAGGAGTAACTAATTCAACTCTGGCCAGGCGTACAGGTGGTGGGGACTAACCATCCGCTGCTGGGCAGTGGAGAACACACAGGAAGCACAGTACACAGTGTGTCCCGGAGTCAAAGAGTGGAAAAAAGAAAACATATTCCCTTGTTCAGAGTGCTCCTTAAAAACTTAAGGTTAACAGTAATTAACTCAACTACTGACTTTTCAAAATCTAGGAATAATGAGCAATTATTAATCTTTGGCCTCATAATTTTCCTAAAAAGCCAGCAACAAAGTTGACTAAATTTTTTAAATACAGACATCAAGCTTTGAATGAATAGTACTAACTCTAGCAGGCTCAACGCTGCTATCAGAGTAGCTTCCTCAGTACCAGCTATGCAAGGTTAAAGCATTTGTACATTTCATTCATCAACATTATGTACAAATTCATCTCTTTCTATTAAATATTCACACTTATTTAAGTCTAAGGGTAAAGGGCAACTTTTTCATTCACATATTACTTGTATATATGAGTCTGTGAGAGTCTGTTCTCTCCTTCTGCCACATGGTTTTGGGGATTGAATTCAGGTCATCATTCATCTCCCAATAACTACCATCTTATATAACAGGTACTTTATGGAAGACTATTTTAGTAAATGGCAACTGATGACTCATTACCCTGAGCTTGTTTTGCTAAGGTGAAAAGGCAAATTCAAAGGTGTTGGTCACAGGTGCTTGCATTCCTAAGCCACATGACACACCCAAACCATCTGAGAAGACCAAAGAGCAGGTAGCAAGCCCAGGACAAAATTTTGAATAGCAAATAATTCATATGAAAATGAAAAGTCTAGTTTTAAAAATCAGGTGAAGCATATAAACCAAAGTGTGCATTTAAAAAATTCAAGGAGGCATAAAAAAAGTAAGTGAGGAGAGATCCAATAGGAACAGTAAATGTATCAGACTATCACAAGAGTCTAGAAATAATGTGAACCAACACAATAATATTACACTTAGGATACTATCCCATCCCAAACATCTCTACATCAAAGCATTCATTCAGTAATGGATGTCTTTCAAATTTGGAATACAGAAAGTGGTGGATAACTAGAGTGTGGGAGTCATGTGGAATGAAAATTAACCTAGATCCTGAGAAATCTGAAAGTAGTACTAACTTACCCCTGACACACACCTATGCATCGACAACAAAGTCCCTTCCAAGCTAGAAAACTTTTGCACTCTTCTATACACTAGGTACCAGAGGTACTTGCTAGGGTCCACCTAACTACTGGACACTCGCATCCCTGCAGAGATAGCCTCTATTTTCCTTCAGAATCAGAAACTCAGAAGCCCTGAGACAAATCGGGCAGTGGTGGCATATGCCTTTAACCCTAGCACTCAGAAGGCAGAGGCAGGTTGATCTCTAGGAGTCTGAGGCCAGCCTGGTCTACAAGAACTAGTTCTAGGACAGCTGGGCTACATACAGAAACCCTGTCTCAAAGAAAGTCTGAGATAGACCTAATAGATGGTTTTAATGACTAAACCCATAGGGGAATAAGAAAGTCTATGAATACCTACACCATTGCTATGTACAGATAAATGGTTTGACAACTGCACCTTCTCTATTTACTCACCAAGAATAAAATATTAATAATTCATTCACTCAACTGCTTTTGGAGGCAGGGTCACAATATACAACCAAGCCAGTCTCAAACACAACTGTCCTGCAACAACCTCCCAAGTGCCAGAATTACAAGCAAGAACCATCATTCCCTGCCACTAAATCTCATTTTATTTCATGACAGGCAGCATGAAAAGTATAGTGTCTAAAGCAACAAACTGAAGCAGGAATAAAAGAATGGCACTATTAAGAAACCTGCATTGCCAGATGGTGATGGCGCACACCTTTAATCCCAGCACTCAGGAGGCAGAGACCAGTGGATCTTATAGAGAACCCCTGTCTTAAAAAACCAAAAGAAAAAAATAAAAGGAAATTTGCACTAAGCCAGCAAGATAGCTCAGTAATTGAAGACACTGTCCACACACGCCTAAAGACCTGAGTTCAACCCCCAGAACCTAGATAAAGGTGGAAGGAAAGAACCATTCCACAAAGTTGTTTTCTGACCTCCATATATACCCTGTGGCACACATATACCCATATATACTATACCTGTCTCTCTCTCTCTCAATACACACATACTAATAATAAATGATTTTTATAAGTTAAGAAAACTTTTCAAGAAACTGAACACAGTAGCTGTGGTCAGGAATAGATATGCTGGAACCTTGCTGTTAAGCCACAGCCACATAGAGATACAGATTAATAAAAATGGGTTAAATTAAGGTATAAGAGCTAACCAATAAAGCTAGAGCTAATAAGCCAAACAATGATTTACTTAATACAGTTTCTGTGTGGTTATTTCTGGGCTGAGCAGCTGGGAACGAACAAGCAGCCTCCTACAACAGTAGCTCATACCTATACTATATTACTGGCACTGGGATAGAGCCAGGAGAATCAGTCATCCTTGACTTATATGTCAAGTTCAAGGCCAAAAGAAGGGAAGGAAGAAAAAAGGAAGCAACTTATCAGGCCTGGTAGTGAATGCTTATAATTCTGGGACTCTGAAGGGAAAGTGGAAGAAAAAGTAAGAGGTCAAGGCCATCCCTGGCTAGTCAATTTGGTACCAGTCTGAGCTATATAAGATCCTGCCTAAAATCTAACGTCAAAATACAAATAAATGAATAAATATTGAAAGAAAAAGTGAAACCCACTCAAACCAAACCAAGACATGATAGCTTATACCTATATCTTAGTATTCAGGAGTTTGCCAAAGAACTGTAACAGGTTAAAAGCCAGCTTGAGTTACAGAGACTCTATCTCAAAATTAAGAAAAAGTAAACATACACACACAAGAAAAAAAAAAAAAAAGAAAGAAAAACACCAGGTATACACAAGTCTTCAACTCCAGCAGTTAAGGCAGAGGCAGGTATATCTCTGTGAGTTCAAGGCTATCCTAGTCAACATAGTAAGTTCTAAGCTGGCCAAAGCTACAGAGAAAGACCCTATCTCAAAAAGAAGAAGAAAGAAAAAGAAGGAAGAAGGAAAAAGGAAAGTGATCCGGCTGTGTTCTGAAGAAAGAGCAGCAGCGTATATAAATCAGAACACAGCACTCAAGAAAATACTATTCGCCTGTGTGACAGAGGAAAGGGGAGTCAGAACTGACACTCGGCCCTCCCTAGGAAAACATCCAAAAAAAAAAAAAAAAAAGCCTCAGGGTCAAGCTGCTGCTAGATCCTGATGATGACTGTTCCCAGTGATCTCAGCCCTACACTTCACAAGCACCCCTTTTCTTACTCCATTCAAAAACTCCTGAGGACTACCAATCACCCCTGAGCATGCTGGAGTATACAACACCCAAACCAGTAGAAACGAAGAACGCACAAATGGAGTTCTAGAAGTGTGTTTTAAATTTCTCAACCTAGTGTATCTCACTCAGGTGTCCTGCATCATCCTTCAAGTTCAGACAGTATTCAAAAATAGACTGAGTTAGGGCACAGCTCAGTGGGGTCAAATACGCATATGATGCGCGAACTATATAGCCTAACAGTAATATACAGATCTGCATTTCAAAGCAGCACAACAAAATGCCTTTGCTTAGTCAGAACTAAAGTCTGCTAGAGAAAAATGAGTCCTTAGCCCACTGCACTAAGAAAACTCTCAGGTTTTGTTTTTATTTGTTTTGTAAATTTTCTTCCGGGTTTGGTTTTGTTGGTTTTTATTATTGTTTTAACAAGATATGGGCAACTTGGTTAGATCCTATGTCAAGCTTAAGGTGGAGGGTTAGGATGTACTTATCATATAAAAGGCCCAGTGTTCACTCAATCTCTAGTACCACCTTCCAAACAGCACGCACAAAAGGGAATGAAGGAGAAAGAAGAAAAAAACTGACTTAAGAATATTCTTTTAAAAGTTAAGTCCATGCTATTTGGAATGGACACTAAAAAAAAAAAAAAAAAAACAAAAAAAAAAAAAAAAACAAAAAAAAAAAAAAAAAACCCTGACCAGAGACTGATGATCGAAACAGGAGAGTGATGAGGGCAAGAGCTCCAGTAATAGAGAGGGCACAGTCCTTCTCTTCCTGTGGCTTATCTCATCCAGGGGACTGAAAAGTCCCAGAGGACCAAAACTAAAAGTAAGAAATTAACTCAAGATCTGGAAAACTGTTATTTTACTGACTCTCATCTGCAGAGAGAGGAAGTCAAACACTAGTCCTTCAACTTCAACTCCGTATCAACTCAGTGGCAAATACTGTAAAAGATAGGACAAAGGAGGTAGACTAAAGGCTACTCTTGTAAAAAGAAGGCTGTAAACCCAGCAATCAGGAAAATCTGTTGATGCTCTCGAGTTTTGAGATGCTCTTCAGAACAGAAACCAATACAAATGTCTACAACATATATCCCCACCTCAGGAGAAGGTAAAGAAAGGTAAGACTGTAGGATATAACAAGACCTATTTGTATTGTATTTATGTTTAAACTTCTCCAAACCATCAAAATGATCTTTACGTATTCACTAAACCTACTCTCACGATCACTGTCTCCAGCAGGAGTACCGCCTAACCACATTGGTACTTGGCTATGAGAGGTGCTTGTCTCTTGCATTGCCCTACTTACAGAAGGGGTAGGGTGCATACCACCATGCACAAGAGGTCAGAGGACAACTTAGAAAAATTGGTTTTCTTCCACCACATGAACCCAGGAAATTGAATTCAGATCATCAGGCTTGGCAACAGGCAGTTTAAACCAATAAGCCATATCACTGGCCCTATGGAAGCTGCTTACTTTGAAGCCCAAAATGAACACTATAACAAGCATGAAAGTAAAATCAGAGACCGCTAGGCTGTACATTGTAAATGAAACAGTCATTAGGTAAGAGGTTATGTTGCTGTTGTTCTGATTTAAGACTGGTGCTTTTGGAGACATGATCTCACCAGGTAGCTCAGGTTGGCCTTGAATTCAATCCTTCTGCTTGAGTATTGAGATACCAGGTAGACAATACCACCCTTTATTTGCTTGTTTAAAAACCCTGTACTAATGACAGAGTAGCTTCCTATCCCCTTTTTGTTTTAAAAGTCTTCAGTAAAGATGAGTGTTTTAATTCATCCATTCAAATTAAAAAATGTTTTATAATAACAAAATTGCATTCTCTGTAAGTTTCAGACACATTAACAGGTCTTCCAAATATGGCAACATGTAAAAGATTTATCTTAAAATCCCCTCCAACAAAAAACAGAGCATGTACTCCTCAAAGCTTCAACAGAAATTTCGAAGATCACTGACCTGGTCCTCCTCTTCATCCTCATCCTCTGCCAATCGTTGCCTGCCCACTTCATAAAGCCTGCATACTGTGTCCATGTTCAGGGCATCCATACTGCCTTGATTCTGGAATGGAAAAACCATTCTAAAATAAGCAATGAGTCAGAGAGCCACTCTCCATACCACAGGTGACAGGTGCCCTTTTCCTTGACCTTGTAACTATCAAAGCTTCCAATATCTACAATTATTTGGCAGACTCTGAAAATGGTATACCTAGGACAGAGTGGGAAAGAGATGGGATGGGAAAGCTTAGGCAGTGGTAGCTGTGAGCACAGGAGGAGCCACTACCCTGGAACAGGCTTATCTTACTCTGTGAGACACAAAGACTCCTCTAAGAAAGGAAGGACAGTTTGAGTCCAGAAGCTAGGAATTTATAACGGTTTTTTGTCACTGTTTCTCTTAGATGGTACATCTCCCAAGTCCTATTAATTGAGTACATTATCAGTAATATACCATCAAGAATTTTACTTTCTTGCCAGGTGGTGGTTGGGCACGCCTTTAATCCCAGCACTTGGGAGGCAGAGGCAGGTGGGTCTCTGTGAGTTTGAGGCCTGCCTGGTCTAAAGAAAAAAAAAAAAAGAATACTACTTTCTTTAGGATGCAGCTGAGGTCAAATACGATGCCTGAATATAACTTGGAAATTATCTTAAACACCGTAACAATAGAAAAGAGTCTCTGTGAGCCTCGCTTACCTCAATGACAGCAAGATAGCAATCTTTGGTGTCCGTACACAGGTCAAAGATATTCCGTTTCACATCAATAGTTGCTGAAAAATAGAATGAGACTGAAACTTAAATTACTGCTGTGGCATTTAAAAAAACCTTTTTGTTCCCAGGAAGTAATTAAAGGCTAATACTTAGGACTAAATGGATGGCTTAGTGGAGTGCATCCTTGCAGAGAACCCAAATTCAAACCTCAGCATCCATGTTAGATGGTTCACAACCACCCATAACTAACTCCAGGGGATCTGATGACTCTGGCCACTATGGGCACCTGCACTCACATGCACATACCTGCACAAAGACACACACACACACACACACACACACACACACACACATATTTAAAGGTCAATATTCATAAATATTTCTATAATTTTTGTACTTGTCAATAAAAAGCCCTCCTGGAAAATGATTTTTAAGGAAAGATACCAAGACAGAAAGGAAACAATGATCAAACGGCTGCCCTTTCAAGTTTACCTATAGGCTTATAATCAGTTGCATTAAATGTTCGGAAGGACGACCCAAAGGGGCTTTTCATCCTCTCTTCCAATAAGTCATCTTCATCATCTGCCTGCAGCATTGCTGATTGAGGGGAGGGAGAATAAACAAACATTAAGAATCAGAGACACTACTGAACCACAAGTGCAGAAAATTACAAAGATCAACCAAGAATTTAGTGAGTATAATTGCAAAGAAACTTATTCTACATTTACTTAGTTCTTCTCCAGAAGTCCTCATTCCATATCCAACCCACTGCAGCAAATAATACTCTCAATCCATCAGTAAGTATTGAGGCTGAAGTTTTATAATATCCCAAGAAAACAAATAGAATGGCTTTTAATTTAACATTATGGAAATTTCTGCATAGTTCTTCTTTCTTTGTTGTTGCTGTTTGTTTTTTGAGACATGGTTTCTCTGTGAAGTCCTAGCTGTCCTGAAACTCACTTTGTAGACCAGGCTTGCCTGGAACTGCCACCTGAGTGCTGGGATTAAAGATGTGGGCCACCATGCAGAGCTCACATATTTCTTTACCTATACAAATTTATTATCTTCAAAATTAGTTGTCTTTTATCCTAATCAACAAATTTTTCATCTTCTCTTTTGTTACCATTTGTTCTATTTCTTTTAACTTTTAATTTTCAATTGATTATCAAAAGTGAAAAGTATTTCTAAAATTATACCAAATGATGTGAGAGTGTACAGTATGAGAAAGAGGAGAAGTAAGAGGTTTATTACCTCCATACATCACTGTCCCAGTGTGGTTAAACACCACACGACATTGATCCAGAGCAGGAACAGTATGTAAAAGATGGAAAGTTCGAAGGTCCCACTATGAGGAGTCTGGTTAAGGGAAACTATTTTATACAAAATTTGAGTGATCTTATATTACTAGAATAGGACTGAATCATGCTTAGCAAGCACTCTGCCAACTAAGCTGCATCCTAGTCCAAAGGTTCTTCTCTAACCTGATGTAATCTCTGAAGTATCACTTCTTCCAATTAAATGTGAAGTACTGAGATTTCAATGCCAACACATATTTCTGACTGATAGTCCTGCAAATAATCCCATATACATAAACTACATCAATTCCCTTCCTCCCAAAAGTAACAATTCGTTCACCCCTTTTCATGTCTAGCAACTGATTTCTACAAAGCAAAAGTAAAATAGCCCAAAATAGTTCTGTATAACAAATCAGGTGACAAATGGAAAGACATACAATCTCTTGTAAGGATACAATCTCTGTATTGATGATGACCTCCAGCCCATTTGGATGGAAAACACCACTGATATTCATGTTGAACTTGTCAAACTTGTGGATGGCCTGTGCAGAGCGGACATCCCAGAGCACGCCATCATTTAAGACAAGATCATCTGTAGGATTAAAGGTGGCACAATTCCTCTTGTAGTTGTTGGCAAGATCTGGGTTAAACAGAGTCAACAGCTTGTTGCCAGTCTGAATATCATAAATCTTTAGAGAAGAAGGGGCGGGAAGAGAAAAATCAGACCAATCTACGCAGTGACAGGTTTAAAGAGAGACTGTGAAGCGCCTCTCCATGTTTCCAAACCCCAATTACAAAGGCCCTGACACTGTTTGTCTGAAATGCTCGAAAGCACACCCTGAGCAAAGGCAAAGCACACCAGCTGTCATCTAAGCTTTGAAAAATCCCTTTCCCACAAGAAAGTGAGAAGTCAATCAAATTAAGGATATAAGATAACAAAAAAACTTTTCTTCAGTTTTGAAGAAACAGAAAATGTTTCCAAAGTTGAACTTGAGAAGTTGTCATCAAAGATCAATGACTAACCATAAATACTACCCAAAACTACTGGTGAAATACTTCAAGGTTTTTTTGGGTTTTTTTTTTTTTGTTATTGTTTTTTCTTAAAATTTCAAGAGTATATTTTAGCTCCATCACACTAAAAAGTTCTAAAGTCTACGATTTGCAACCAATGCACAGACGAGATCTTTCAATCAACTAAAACACTGTAGTATTTTTTTAAGTGAACTGTTCAATACTTTTCGCATACTGAACATGCCCATTCAGAAGCAGAAATCACATATACATGCACATATATAGAAACATACATACAACCCACATACCCCTCAAACACTAGAGTTACTTGTTTTCTACAAGTTTCCCTGGTAGTCCCTTCCAGCACCTTCTCACAATTAAGTAAACACACCCCAATTCCTCTTCCATTGATTAATTTTGCCTGGCTTTGACCCTTAAACAACTTATAGAACATAAAACATACTTCCTGACTGCAGTTGATGTGTGCTGCCTTTTTATTCATTTTTACTTTATTACTACTGTTTTTTGAGGCAGGGTCTCATTATAGAGCCCTGGCTGGCCTGGAACATGTCACGTATTTTATATATTTATTGAGCTCTACACTTCTCTCTGCTTCCCTCCCTGCCTCTCCCCTCCTCTTTAACCATAGCCCGAGGTCCCCATGCTCCCAATTTACTCAAGAGATCGTGTCTTTTTCTACTTCCCAACACTGTAATATTTCCAGTTTTAAAAACATCTTCCTCAGCCTGTGGCGGTGGCACACACCTTTAATTCCAGCACTAAGGAGGCAGAGACAGGTTGATCCCTGTGAGTTCGAGGCCAGTCTGATCTACAGAGTGAGTTCCAGGACAGACTCCAAAGCTACAGAGAAACCCTGTCTCCCCACCCCACCCCCCAAAAAATGAACAAACAAACAAACAAACAAACAAACAAAAAAGATCCTCCTCTGACACCATAATAACAAGCCCAGATCATGGACAAGACACCCATCCTGCTCTCTTCAAATCAGGAAAGTGGGAGGAAAGAGTCTTGGCTCTAAACTTTAGTAAGACATAACCCAAATGTATTACATGAATCCTGACTAGGTCCTGGTTTAAAAACAAAAGCCCATATAAAGCAAAAGATAACCAAGCTATAATTCACAGCCCAAGGAGCTAGGTAACAAAAAGGACCCTAAGAGGGACACATGAATATCCCTGGGAAGGGGAAATAGATGAGAGCTCCAGGGTAAATGGATGTTGGGGTAAACTGGGGTGGGGAGGGGGAGAGAAGAGGAGAGGGAAAAATGAGGGATCAGGTTAGTCAAGTGGGGCGTGGGATGGAGGGGGAGAGTAATGAAAGAGATATCTTGATAGAGAGGGCCATTTTGGGGTTAAGGAGAAAACTGGTGCCAGGAAGACTCCGAGGAATCTACAAGGATGACCCCAGCTAAGACTCCTAGCAATAGTGGAGAGAGTGCCTGAACAGACCTTCTCCTATAATCTGATTGGTGACTACCCTAATTGTCAACAGAGAGCCTTCATTCAGAAACTGATGGAAGTAGATGGACTAGCTCCTGGAGTACAGTTGACAAGAGGGAGGAGGGATTAAGGATTATATGAGTAAGGGGGGGCAGGGTGTCAAGATCACAACAGGGAAACCCAGAGACAGCTGACCCAAGCTGGGGGAAGCTGACAGACTCTAGACCAGCAGTTAGGGAGCCTGCATGGGACTGACCTAGGCCCTCTGCATGTGGCTGACAATTGGGTAACTTGGTCTGTTTGCATGACCCTTAGCAGTGGGATCAGGACCTGACCCTGGTGCATGAGCCTATTCTCCATGCAGGAATGCCTCGCCCAGCCTTGATGCAGGGGGAGGAGATTGGTTCTGCCTCACCGTGATATGACCTGCTTTGTTGACTCCTTTAGGAGACCTGCCCCTTTCTGAACAGAGGAGTGGATGGGAGGATAGATGAAAAGTGAAAGAAGGGAATGGGAAGAGTGGCAGTAGGGGAAACTCCGGTTGAAATGTAAAATAAATGAAAAAAATTAATGAAAAACCTGCTTACTCCAAAGGACGATTAAGAAAACTGAGTGTGAACGGAATAGTAGCTATGTGAGAATTATTTTAAAATTTATTATACAATAAAGCATCTTTACTGTTAGAAGATAAATATAAAAGATAAAAATTTCATAATGTCTATAACCCCCTTTCAAATGATTTTTAAAAAAGTAATTTACACTGCAAAATAATAAAATGACCAATCCAGGCAACGAACATATGTATTTTTTTGCTGTTTTACAATTTTCCATATACTTTTATGTTTCCAAAGGGAGAAATCCTCTGTGATTTACTGCCTTATAACCTCCCCAATCTCCTAGTTCTCCAGTTACCTGCATGACAGTCACACTTCCTTCAGGGTTCTACTTAAACACCATCCTGTCTTGCTCTGTAACACTTAACTCATTTATTTTATTTACTGTCTCTCCAACAAGGCTCCCTAAAGACAGGTTATATTTCATCTAACATGTGGTAAGAAATCAATAAACATCTGTTCTTAGCTGGGTGTGGTTAGCCAACACCTATAATCCTACAACTCAGTAGGCTGAGGCAGAAGGATTCTAAATTCAAGACTAGGCAAGTCTACATAAAGAAATGCTCTATTGAGAAAAAAAAAAGGAAGAAAGAAAGAGAGAGGGAGGGAGGGAGGAAAGGAGGGAGGGAGGGAGGGAGGGAGGGAAAAAGGACAGACTGCTGTACTAAAAAAATCTTTTCAAGCTTCCAGATTCATATTCAACCCTTTCACGTTATCCCCATGTAGCTCACTATTTAGGACACAGTCTCACTAGTCAGTACTAGCCTTGAACTCCTTTTTTTCTCCCAAGACAGAGTTTCTCTGTGTGACCCTGGCTGTCCTGTAACTCACGCTGTAGACCATGCTGGCCTTGAATTCACAGAGATCCTCCTGGCTGTAATTAAAGGTATGGCCACAACTGCTTGCCCTTGCACTTAAACTCTTGATTCTCTTGCCTCTGAAGTGAGAAATCACAGGTATTCACAACCATGTCTAGCTCTTTGCATAATTTACAACTACTTTATTTACTTCTGGATTCTAACTAGAGGGTTTGTTTTGGTGCTTTGGTTCTTTGGTATTTTGTTGTTTGGAATTCTAAAGATTGATTCTAGATCATGTTAGGCAAGAGTTATCAGTACAATCCAAACTCAGCTCCCAGCCCTTTAAATTTTATTTTGAGAGGCTCACTAATTGTTCAGGCCAGCTCTGAATCTACAACCTTGGTCTCTAGAATAACTGGGACTACAGACATGGACTACCACACCCACATAACTGAGTAATTTCTAGCTGCCAACAGGACACACATTCTCATATTACCTCCAGAAGATTTCAGTGTGAACAAATAGGTAAAATCAGCTTGATAGAAGTAGATTCTTAAATACTTACATGGGCAATGTCTCCTTTTGTGCCTATGACCCGATCCTGAGAGTGCTTACTGAACTCAACATAATGATCTTCTGTGAAGGAATGCCTACAAACAACAAGATTACTGAGGTAAGACTGTCAGGACATGTTCCAGTCACCTGAAAGAACAGGAAATTTCCAGCCTCTTACAAATCACACTTACCTGATTTTCCTTGTTTCCAAAGAAGAAATAATTCTATACATAGATTAAAAAATTCCTCTATAAGTCCACTGAACAGATCCCAAATAATGAGGGTTTGTTGGTTAGAGAAATGGCTAATACAGGGTATGTGCTTTTGAAATATTGCAGAAATCAATACAAATGTCATGTGAACCTAGCGCATAAACGTCCATTTTGGGTAAGTAAACAGTCCATTGTATAACAGGAATATAAACATATCATAAGATTATTTATAAACTAAGACAAATTCTTATTAAATGTGAGTCTCAAATGAGAAAGAAAAAAGTACCAACAGTTTAACATTATTACTCTTTTCCCCAAAAGGCTTGTAATTTAATATCTGATGAAGGGAAACAAAGTGGCTAAATAAGACACAAAATGCAAGATACAATGCTGTAAAAGCAAATAAATACATACTTCATATCAAATACTGACTTCATCCCCCAAAGTGCAGATAAAGGCTGGCTCCAAGTTGCAGATGTCAGAAGTAAGGACCCATCCTAAAAGAGGACAAAGTTAGAAATCACTAGGTCTTAATTACTTGTGCCTATAGCAGACTAGAAAAAAAATATATTTATTCCCAGGGGCCTAAAGATGGTTCTTTTTTATGGTTTATTTATTGTGCATGTGTGTATGATATGTAGGTATGGTGGCATATGTGCCATACATGTAGAAGTCAGAGGACAACTTTGTGGAGTTGCTTTCTCCTTCTCCTTTACATGGGTTCCAAGGAACAAACAGGTAGTCAGGATTTGCAAGGTGAGCACTTTTACCCACTAACCTATCTTTCCACCCTGGGTTTTTTTTTATTGTTTGTTTTTCTTTTGTTGAAATAGGGTTTATGTACTTGGAATGGCCTAGAACTTACTCTGTAACCCAAGTTGGGCTCTGAACTCATGATCGTCCTGCCTCAGTTTTCCCATGACCACTATATACAGCTAAAACTCTCCTATCAAGAGCTGGTCAAATATCTAAGAATCTTTCTGAGATATGAGTCAATATCAACTGGACTTTCTAGTTAATGGCTCATGTCAAATAAAGTCCAATAAAAGGTAAGACTCCTTAGTTGGACAGTGGTGGCGCACACCTTTAATCCCAGCACTCAGGAGGCAGAGGCAGGCAATGTCTATGAGGTTGAAGCCAGCAAGGTCTACAGAGCGAGTTCCAGGACAGGCTCCAAAGCTACAGAGAAACCCTGTCTCAGGGGGAAACAAAAAAGACTCCTTTAACTCTCGCTCCCCAATCCGTATCAAATTGAGAGCAAACAAAAAGAAACCCTTACCCTGGAAGGTTCAAGGTGTGTGATGGCTGAGTTGTGACAGTTATAGCTGGCCTCTTCCTGTCCACTAAATACATTGTAGAGCTTCAGCTGCCCTGTACAGGTACCAAGCATCAGAAATCGCTCCCGAGCAGAGAATGCACAGCAGGTAAAGCCACTTTCATCTTCATTAGCTTCCCGGAACACCGAAATAGGACGAAATCTAAGCAGAAACAGAGAGAGTGCATAAATGAGAGCAAAGAATATCCAGGAACTCTGCAAACACAAACTGTGCTAGACAGTGTGAGAGAAGAGTATTATGTTTCAAAATGTGAAGCCTTATTAACAAAAATTGAATTCTAAAACATTATAGTGTGACCTTCAGTAGTTTAAATTTTCAATGAAAAGAGTCCCATGATCCGTACGTAAGATTTGTAAAGAAGCAGACAGAAGACAACTTGGCCAGCACAAAAGGCAAGTCTGAGAACCGGCTAGAAACAGTGAGTTCAGTAACAAACATACTGGTTGTGATGACAGCAAAGAAATCAAAATACTGCCAAGAATCTAAAACAAATCCATAACTGACTTAATTACTTCAAAAAACACATTTAAAATGACGTTCAGTGATACTTCAGGCCAACAAATAATTTTAACTAATCACTCAGTGATGATACTGATCAAACACTGATTTAGATAAAAGAATCATTCCAAGCACCGTGGGGAACCTCTCCTTACCTGCTAAAGATAAGGTGCCTATCAAAGCATCCGCCATCTACCCCTCCATACTTTGGAAATGATGCCCTGCGGTTTAGCCTTGAGGTAAAGTTTATTGGCGCTTGTCGCCTCTGTTTTGGCTCAGGACACTGGTGAGGAGTAAAGAGAGAAAAGGGTGGACAGGTGGCAACGGGGTTCTTGCAGCGAGCATGTTGCTCTCTAAGATACTCTGTGATGATACTGTCCAGTGTAGGTGGGGAAGGAAGATGTCTATCCAATTGTTTTTTTATGGCGGGGCTCTGGCTGTATGCACCATGGTCCGACTTCTGCCGCAACACTCGAATTTTCCTGCCATTGCACGGTGATGGCCTCTCTCTGATAAAACTGATCCTACCAATCAAAGGGGAGTTGCCTGCATATGATGGTCCAGGCAAAGCCAATGAACCCTGGGGAGGGCGTGGTGGAGGATGGGCAGGGGGGGCAGAAGGGGCGGAAGCACCCACAGCAGCATGGCCGCCCAGTCGACTTGCAATGCCATTGGCAATCCGAGGGGTCCGGGGAAGAGAGACAGGAGAAGCAGCAGCAGTTACTGGGGTGAAGGCAGAAGAATGTGAGGCAGCAGTCATGGGCAAGTCAGCCTCTCTCGTGAGCACAGTCGCTGTCTCTCCAAGCCCTTTAGAAATGAGGTGGTTTCGTATCAACAGGAGCAGCTCTTTCTCAGGGAAGGAGATCCTTGACTGGGCAACAACATCTGCTTTCTGTAATCGTGCCAGGGACACATCAGTGCCAATGAGAAGAGGCTTTCCTGATACTCGCTCGATGAGCTCAGCAGCGTATTTGCAGAACTTGACATGGTCACTCCGCTTGTCCTGCAGCACTGGTTCCTTCATCAGCTGTTGAATCTGGCAGCTACTAAAAAGGGGCAATTTGCTGATAATCTGTCGAACAGTGCTACTTCGAGACAAGCCCACCAGGGCCTTACAGGCCAGGGCCCGGATCTGGTCTGCATCTGTGATGGGCATCTTGATGGACAATAGAGACAGAAGCACCTTGATGCCATTGTTGGACTGGACCACATTCCACATCTTGGCCAGGGTATGTTCACTGCTCTTGGGGGTCTGAGACAGTTTTCTCCGAGGTGTTCCAGAAATAAATTTACCAATACTGGATATCCGGTTATCTGGGCCACATACACAATTGATAATAATCTGAAGTGCTGACTTCTGAATTTCAGCATCATGGATAAAGAACTCACCCTCAGCCACTCCTAAAATAATGCTGATACCTATAACATAAAAAAAATCTGATTATTCTTCATAAAACTTATTGCTAGAAGAACCTAAGATGGCATATCATAGGGGCACTTTACACATTCATCTTTATTATAAACCATTAACAGCAGTCAAGTTATGGAATCAGTCTAAGTGTCCCTCAACAGACAAATGGACAAAAAAGACATTGTATTATGCACAATATAATCTTAGTCATAAAAAAGAATGAAATTATGTCATATACCAGAAAATAGACGGGGATGGCAAAATGACATTGGGTAAAGGCTCGGCATCAAGCCTGCTGACCAGACTTTGATCCTCAGAACTCCATTTGCAGAAGGAGAGAATTTATTCCAGCAAGTTGTCCTCTAACCTCCACACGTATACCATTGTGTGCATGAACACACACAAAACAAAATGTAAATAGAAGAAAAGAAAATGGTAGAGCTTAAGATCATATTAAATACACTAGCCCATAAGCAGAATCTAGAATTAAAATTAACAAAAAAAAAAAAACCCCACACGTGCTAGGAGACAATATTCAGAAGGCTGGGGCAAGAAGATACAAACAAAGTCAAGGCAAGCCTGGACTACACTGTAAATTCCAGGCCAGGCTGGGCTACAGAGTGAGCATCTGTCTCAAAAACAAACCACCACCAAAAAAAACGCATGGGACTAGAACAGGACAAAGAAAGAGAATAGAGATGACTGGTTTCTTTTGTTTTCCTACTGGTTGTCTTCTGGGCTTGTTTTTTTGAGGCAATCTCTCTCAATATTCTGGAACTCGCTACATAGACCACACTACCCTCAAACTAAAATACTGACCCGCTTCTGCCTCCCAAGTGCTCTGACAGTGTATCCAACCATGCCCAGAGAAGGAAGAGGTCTTAAAAAGGGAGCAGATGGGGGTGATGGGAGCAAGAAAAACAAAAACTAATTTGTCCCATATGGAAAATCTAAATTTAACTGTGTGTAAGTATGAAATGAAAGTAGAATGGGGAACAGGAAGACTGGAAGGAGGAAAGTGGAAGGCATATATGAGAAAGAGACTACAATATAAAATACCATAAAGAAATCCATTCTATAGAGCTTTAAGAGCCAAGGAGATGACTCAGAGGGTAAGAAAGCTTGGTGTATAAGACTGATGACCTGAATTTGATCTCCAAAACCTATGTAAAAAAAAAAAAAAACTGAATGTCACCAAGTGGTGGGAACGCATGCCTGTAATCCCAGAACTTGGGAGGCAGACACAGGCAGATCTCAGTGAGCTGGAGGCAAGCCTGAACTAACTACAAGGTGAGTTCCAGGGCAGCTGGGCTGCTACACAGAGAAATTCAGTCTTGAAACATACCCCCCCACACAAAAAAAAAATGAACGTTGTACTAATCTGTAATTGCAGCATTTAGCATTTCCACAACAAGATAACAAGACAAAGATGGGACAACAGACTGGTTGAAATATAATGCACTCAAAGCAACAAGATAGGTCATGTTTCAACAGGAGGAAAGGAGAGTGCTAACACCCAAAACCTACCTACTTGCTTAAAAACACTTATCAGGTAGAGGTAGAAAGATCAGGAGTTCAGGGTCATCCTAAGGTACATAGTAAGTTAAGAGACCAGCCTGGGATACCTGAAACTCTGTCTCTAAATACACACCCTCCAAAACAACAAAGTACAATTGGTTTGTTACATATTCTGTACCTGAATATCTCATGTATGCTATCTCTTGCATAGTTATTAGAGAGGTTATATGAAGTGTGAAAGCTATCAAAGTTTGTGTACAGTGTTTCCTAGGTAAAAGGGACAAAAATAGTGGAAATGAATTAAAACCTTCTGCAGGAAAGCAAAAAGCCCTTAGTTGAGCAGGTCTCACAGCAATAGGAACATTATTCACTATCTATTAAACCAGGCAGTGGTGGCACACACCTTTAATCCCAGTCCTCGGGAGGCAGGGGCAGGCAGATCTCTGAGTCCTAGGCTACCTGGTCTAGAGTGAGTTGCAGAACAGCCAGGGCTAGACAGAGAAACCGTGTCTCAAAAACCCAAAAACAACTGTGTGTGTGTGTGTGTGTGTGTGTGTGTGTGTGTGTGTTTCTTTCCCAGAGTACTACACCTGAAGAACCACTGTCTATCATCATTCACCTCAACAGCCTGCTCTTAATACTGTGAGTTTTCTATTGTTATTTTTCGAGATACAGTTTCTCTGTGTAGCCCTTCTGGCCTAGATCTTGCTGTTGTAGACTCGACTGGACTGAAACTCAGAGATCCACCTGCCTCTGCCTCTAGGGCAGGGAACAATAGTATGCACCACCACCACCCAGCAACAATGTTTTTCCAAACACAAGCTTTCTCCTTTCCTATGTTCCTTAGTACTCAAGTGTTACCAAACCCTTTACTGTTTGTCCTAACTTATTAATCATTGTAAAGGTAAAGTTCTGGGAAGTGCACATCCTAGTATAGAAATATCTGACCCATCCAGAAATCCTAAGTGTATCAACATGACTCTCACTATATGAACTGTGTGCGTGGTGTCAATTACAGCAGACAGACAAGAAACCTTCTTCCACAACCTTCTATTCCAGTGGTTCTCAACCTTCCAAATGCTGCGACTCTTAAATACAATTCCTCATGTTGTGGTAACCCCAACCATAAAATTATTTTTGTTGCTACTTCGTAACTAATTTTGCTACTGCTGTGAACCATAATGTAAATATCTGATATGCAAGGTGTCTGATATACAACTCCTATGAAAGGGTCATTTGACCCACACATTAAAAATTATTGTTATATTCTAACACCCTGAAATTAGGTTACAAATTTGACAGGAAGAGCAAAGGCAAATTATCACACAAGAAAATTGGTAAGATGCAGGCTTGAGAGATAGCTTACTCTGTAAAATGTTTGTCTTACAATCACAGGGCTTAAGTATGATCCCTAGAACCCACCAAAAATTAATATAAGAATCAGGAATAATAGTATATACTTATATCCTATTACTGGGAAAAAAGAAGAAAATACATCCCTAAGGCTCACTGGTCAACCAGCCTAGCCTACTTGGTGAATTCCAGATATCAAAAAGAAACATTATGATTCCCTGATGAATAACACCTGATGCTGTCCCCTGGCCTTCACATACATGCATGCACCTGCATACACTCACAAAAACTAGCATAGTAACATGGTGCAACCTACCTACAGTGGACACAGTAGAGCCAGCCTCGTCCAGTACATCCACTGACTCTGCCAATTGGAGCTGAATTTTTGGCACCACAGTAAGAATAGCCAAGACATCCAAAGCAAAGCGCACAGTGTCATTCCTAGTCAAAAAAAGAATTAGTCAAAGGGGAACTACAATATAATTACTAAAAAAATTTAAAAAAAAACAAGAAGCTGTAACAGATTAGAACCGCCATTTGATGAAATGTTCTAAAATACTTATTTTTAAAAAATATTTAAGACTGAGAATATACCAGACACTAAAAAATAATATGGAAATGAGATAAGATTGTAATTACATTTACTTATTCATGTGTGTGTCATAGTGTGTGTAGTCAGAAGATAACTTGATTTTTCCTTCTATCATGCTGGTCCCAGAGATCAAACATAGGTCACAAGGCTTGGAGGCAATTTCTTTTCCCACTGAGCCATCTCCCTTGGCCAAAACAGGTTTTGAGTTTTTTGTTTTCTTTTTTAAAGATTTCAGGTCAGGCAACGGTGAAACATGCCTTTAATCCCAGCACTCAGGAAACAGATGCAGACAGATCTCTGGGTTCAATGTCAGCCTGGTCTACAGAATGAGTTCCAGGACAGGCAGGGCTGCACAGAGAAACCCTGCCTCAGGAGATAGAAAGATAGATAGATAGATAGATAGATAGACAGACAGACAGACAGACGGACGGACAGATGATGGATGGATGGATAGATCATGGATGGATGGATAGATAGATAGATAGATAGATAGATAGATAGATAGATAGATAGCATGGAAGCAAGCAAAAGGTCCAATGTCTCTGCAGTCCCGATTTGGTGCTGGAGTCCTGGGTTATTCCTAGAGACCTGCAGGTCTTTAGTCTATGTTGGCATCCTTAGGAAGTAGATTCTGATAGGAGCAAAGGAATGCCAAAACAACAAGATACATATTTAAGCCAGGAATGGTGGTGCACACTTTTAATCCCAGCACTCAGAAACAGATGCAGGAGCATCTCTGTTAGTTTGAAGTAAGCCTGGTCTATATATATGGTGAGTTCCAGAACAGCAAGATCCTGTCTCAGAAAAGAAGAGGTACAAACAAGTGTATTTATATAGGCTAAGAATTTATTATCCAAAATCCTATGGACCAAAACCACTTCTAATGACAGTGCTCTTCCAATTTTAAAGTACTTAGAGGGAATCTATCAGTTGACAATCACTAATCTAAAAATTTTAAATCTAAAATACTCCAAAAGCAATTATGGCCAACTACCCTGTAACCAGTGACAATCATTAAAAAGAAAAAAAAAACCTACAGGAAAGGGTTCATAATAAAATTACATGAAAGAGAAAATGCAGGATACAAAACCTAAAATCTGAAAGTATCAAACATTTACAAGAAGGTGGAAAACTATCACGATCATTTTACAATCTGGCAACATTTACTAAAGGTGAAAATGAAGATACACTATATCATGGGTTCTAAATACCACAGCCTCATGAGACATCAAAAGACATTAAATGTAAAAAGAAAAAGAAACAATGTCAAACCCAGTTGTAGGGACACAGGCCGATGATTCCCAGCATTGGGAGCAGGTAAGCAAGGCTGAAACAGAGTTCAAAAAGAGCCTGGAACTAATTCTTTAAGAGAGAGAGGAAGAGAGAGAAAAGAAAATGAAGAAGGGATGGATGAGGAAGGGATGGAGGGAACAAGAGAAAAGAGGGAAGAGAACAAACTCCCACAAGTTGTTACTCGATTCCAAATATTCACCTTACCACATATGTACCCCCATACAAGTAATTAAGTAAAGAAATAAATACTTTTAAAGCCAAAATCACACCTTTGAGGCCATGCAGACAGATCAGCAGATAGTCACTTGCTATCAAGCCTGGCTCACAGTATTATCCCTGGGACTCACATGGTGAAAGGAGAGAATCAATACCTGTATGCTATCTCTAACTAACACACACACAAAGGGAGAGGGGATGACAGAGAGGTCTATATAAGTAAAAAATATTTTTTGAAAAATCACATTATAGTTGGGCATCATAGCACACACCTTTTATTCTTATCACTCAGGAAGCAGAGGCAGACAGACCTCACTGAGTTCAGGCCAGGCAGGGCTGCATAGTGAGATTCTGTCTCAAAATATAAAATAATAAAATAAGGAGACTGGAAGATAGACCAGGAGATAAAAGCACTGGTTGTTCTTTCAGAAGACACGAGTTCAACTCCCAGCACCTACAAGGCATTTCACAATTCTCTGACTCCAAATTTCAGGGGATTTGATGCCCTCTTCTGCTCAAGACCCTGTATGTGAGACACATAAGCTCACACAACCACATACACACATAAAAAGAAAAGGCGGTAAGATATAAAAAATTAAATAATAAAAATCATACTGGGGGGGTTGCTACTTTTGTTTTGGTTTTTTTGTGGGGGAGGATTTCTCTGTGTAGCCCTAGCTGTCCTGGAACTCATTCTGTATAGTAGGCTTGCCTGGAACTCAAAGATCGGTCTGCCTCTGCCTGTCAAGTGATGGAACCAAAGATATGTGCCAGCACCACACAACAACAACAACAACAACAATAGCAACAAAACACTTTCATATTTAATCTACTTCCTTCACAGAGTCTAGTTTAAAACTTCACCTCAACAAAAGCTTGTTAAACATGTATTATGTAAATACTGAACTTCACACGAAATTTCTAGTCCCACCTTGCATAATAGGTCTTCCAATTGCAGGCGATGGAAATAAGCTGTAGCAAGAGCTGCACACACGAAAGCTTGAGGAAGACTTCAGCAGGTTCCCAATACAGCTGAGCTGGGCCATATTCTATCAAAAACTCCATCATTTCCACAATCTGCTCATGAGTATATGAGCATGCCTATAAGGAGAGGTATGTATTATATAATACATAATTGCATCATCTATCTACTACTTTCTCAATGTTTGCCCAAAGATTTTAATAAAAGCTTTCAATTTCCACAATTCCTGAGACACCAGTCCATACGTAAAACAATGCTACATCATGCTTAGTACTTTGTGATGGCACACATATTAAAAACAAAATAACCAAGTTGATTTGTGCATACTTAAGAAAGCTGAGAAAGTAGCACCAAAGAAACAGGTATCTCTTCAACTTGCAATTTTTGAAACATGCAGACATTCATCTTGATCCCAAACCGATCAAATAAGTTCCAAAATGATAGAGAGCTAGAGTTATGGACACATCCTTTCCCAAACAAAATTCTGCAGTTTTACTCATACTTGAGTCCCATTAGTTCTAGCATGCCAGAATAGCAGTGACTTATAAGTGGGAACAAAAAGATCTTTGAAATTCATCTATTACCTCCACTTTTAATTGTTCTGCTTTCATATAGGGAGGGTAAAATGCAAAACTGTATGTCCTACAGACATGACACTGATCTCAGATGTGATTTCAGACCTGGAGCTACTGCAAGTAGTATTAATTTTTAAGACTGTGTCCTGGGTCAGGATGTAGTTAAGTATTACAGCACTAATCTGACATGTATGAGACCCTGTTTTTGATCCCCAACACTGAAACAAGAAGTAAAAGAATAAATACTGGCTATGGTAGTACACTTAGAAGGCACTCAGAAATGGCCCAGTGCATAGAAGGCAAAGGCAAATAGTTCTCTGAGTTCTAGGCCAGTCTGGTTTACAAAACAGAGACCTTGTGGTAGTCATTCTTGGTTGACTTAACTACATCGGAATTAACAAAAATTCAATCAGTCTAGCACACCTATGAGAGATTTTATTTTTTTTTTCATTAAAACATTTAAGTGGGAAGATCCACATTTAATACATATCTTTTGAGGTTGGAAGATACACCTTTAGTTCAGGTCTTTTAGGGTGATAAGATCCACCTTTAACCTAAGCCACATTTTCTGCTGGCAGCCTAGATAAAGTACATGGAAAAAGGAAGCTTTTCCTCTTTGCCTACAAGCTCTTGCTCGCTCTGGCCAAGACCATTCCTTACTAGCATTATAGCCTATTTCTTCAGGAATCTGTCATAATACTGAAGACCACCTGAGACATCCAACTTCATGGACTACTGGAATTTTGGAAATTATGTTAGTATACAGACATTATTGGACTAGCTGGACCAGACTGTTAAGCCAGTCTAATAAGTTTGTGCATGTGCGCGCGTGTATGTGTGTGTGTGTGTGAGTTCATTCTATAAATTCTATTCTTCCTGAGAACCCTGTTGTGAGTGTGTGTGCGTGTGTATGTGTGAGAGAGAGAGTTCATTCTATAAATTCTATTCTTCCTGAGAACCCTGATCAAAGATTTTGGTACCAGAAGTGGTTCTAGAGCAACAGAAGCAAAATAATGTTTTGTTGTTGTTGTTGTTGTTTGGGTTTTAGTTTTCCGAGACAGGATTTCCCTTGTATATCCCTAGCTGTCCTGGAACTCAATAGACCAGACTAGCCTAGAGCAAAGCAATCCATCCGCCTAAGCCTCCTGAGTGCACCGACACCACCCAGCCAACGATGATTTTTTAGGGATCTGGAACAGGCTTCCAATTTGCCATTGCCTACTGTTATTATAGTCCCTCCAGTTACTGAAGCCTCTCCTAGAAGCTTGGAAAGTATTAAAAGCCTATAGTGTGGCCTAGTTTACAAACTTGAAACAAATGCATTTAATTATTCACCTATCCTGAGAAGCAATGGATTTGGTGACTCTACATAAAACTGTTGAAGTTGGGCAGTGCTGGGGCATGTCTTTAGTTCCAATATTCAGGAAGCAGAGGCCAGCAGATCTCTGTGAGTTCAAGGCCAGGCTGGTTCATAGAGCAAGTTCCAGAACAGCCAGGACAACACAGAGAAGACAAAAACAAAAACAAGACTTTTGACAGCTTGTGGAAAAATAAGAAAAATGATGATAAAAGCTGCTTGTTCTAGCATCTCTGGATAAATTGGCAAAGGCTAAGAATAAGTTCCATGATAACAGTAACTAACTTCTATCATGAAAGAATACAGTGAAGGACAGCAATATAATAAAACTGACCAGCTCCAGATGTACACACTAAAGGTTTCTAGTGTACCGTGGAAGGAAATCTCTCCACCAGCCACAAAGCTTAAGTTTGGAAAGTCAAACAAAAGCACTTATTTGACTGGCTGAATTACAAAGAGAATTAATTCCCTGAAAATTAATGTAGGAGGACCCTACTGAAGCTGAAAACTTTGAACCCTCAGATGATTCTCAAGAGTTTATCTCACCTGAGGGAGCAGTCTCTCCACCCTCAACAGATATTCTCCCACCGAAATTCTTGCCTTTTCCTACTTTAACTAAGGAAATTAACACTTTGTTGTCTGCTAAAGCAGCAGTGACTTACCCTGAAGAAGATGCCAGTACTGATGTCCCTCAGAGCCTCTAGACCTATAACCAGACTAAAAGCTGAGCAAGCTCATAGACTGGAGACAGAAAGTATGAGGAAGCACACTACACTACAAAAGAGCTCAATGAGTTTGCTAATTCATTTAAGTAGAAGTCTGGGGAATATGTGTGTAAATAGATTTTAAAGTTGTGGAATGAACATAAAACTACATTGGGCTGAGTTTATTTGTACGGGTCCACTGGGTAGAGAGTCTAGGTTTAATATGGAAAGTTCAAAATTTAAAAAGGAGTCAAAATGCCGGGCAGTGGTAAAGCATGCCTTTAATCTCAGCACCACCAAGGCACAAGCAGGCAAAGCTTTGTGAGTTCAAGGCCAGCCTGATCTACAGAGCTAGTTCCAAGGACAGTCACACACAAAGAAACCCTGTGTTAAAACAAAACAAAACAAATGAACAAAAGATAACAAAAGCATATTTAAATGGTTGGCTGGAGCATCAGTCCAAAGATAGCCTATTAAAAAGGAGTTCGTGATGCCTGATATCCCTTGGCTTAGTGACTATGAAGTGTAAGATTCCCCACTGTATGCTGTGAATACCACCGATTAATAGAGAAACTGGTTTGGCCTGATAGGGTAGATAGGTGGGGAAAACCAAACTGAATGCTGGGAGAACAAAGACAGGTCAGAGAGAAGCCATATAGTCCTGCCAGAGACAGATGCTGGGAACTTTACCCGGTAAGTGACAGTCACGTGCAGATACACAGATTAATGGAGATGGGTTAAATTAATATGTAAGAGTTAGCCAATAAGTAGCTAGAGCTAATGGGCCATGCAGTGATTTAAATAATACAGTTTCTGTGTGGTTATTTCTACTCTGAGCTGTCAGGCAGTAGGGAAACAAACTAACGTCCTCTTAACAACAAACTGGCACCAACGTGGCTAACTAAATCCACTTAAAATCTGAGAAAGCTTAAAAAGGAATCCTAGACACAAGAGAGCAGAGTAAGCAGCAGCTCCTTTAAGAGAGGTCTTCCTGATTCAGCGGTAGCAGAAAAAAAAGCCGTGACATTTTGAAATGCCAGCTTTCTGGGCTATGCTGCAAGTGCAACCTCTGGCTCTTTCAGGAGACCAAACATTTAAATGGGATTTGTGAACAGAGTGCTACAACTTGCTTAATGGCCAACACAGACTGGATGTGTGCCTAAAAATGGGGCTGTGAGCATGGCTCTCAGAGGCAGCAAACAGCTCCACCATGCTGGACTGGGCGAGGCAAGGAGACAGTGTGGTATTTCCCTTAGCAATGGCGCCACTAAAGTTTATAAGGAAGGTTTAGCATTTTAAGGAGCACTTCTGGTCAGAAAATAATTACAGATACACAATAAAGACAGATTCAGATAAAAAAAAAAAAGACCTCTAAATGAGTCACATTGTTGGATAAATATATGTAGGCTTGGGAGAGAAAAGAAAAAGAAAAAAAGAAGTAATTGTTTTTTTTTACAAAAAAAAGGGCAAAGACTTTAAAGAGACAACAGTCATAGATTAAAAGGGATATAAAGATAATAAAATAAATATTAAAAAGTAACAGAGTAAAAAATAATAAGCACAGAGTCTGGATTATGTATATTATTGTGTTTTCTATGAACTTTTTGACTGTGAAGGAGCTAAGTACAGAGAGACATTTCATTGTATGGGCTGCTAAGCAAAACCAACATATATACTTTAAAGGTATCTTGATTTCAAAATTTGAGTCGAAGAATATGTTACTTTGGAAACGAGGTTGTTCTTTTGTTTCCACAGAGGATGAGAACCTGTGGATCTCTTCCAGACTAATGTGGATTGATGTACTAAAACACCCGAAAGGTTGTCATGAACACTCCCAAAAATTATTTAGGCCAACAAAAAGCAGGAAGTAGCTTGGAGACAACTATGCCCATATCCCCAAATATTGTCTATAAATGTTTGTTTACATTTAAAGGGAGATATGCTATAGAGATTTGCATTGGTATAGATTTTGGTTTACTGATACAAATTTAAGGTCAGTTTTGTTATATTTATGTTTCTGCTTGATTAAGGTATTATGTGTGCAGCTCATTTAAAAATGTAATGTATAATTAAGAAATATGGGTTAATAGATAATCATCTATAATAGTTAAGCTTGTAGTCATGTTAGTTAGATTTTCTAGATGAACAGATACGTATTTAAGATGGATAGGCATTCTTCAAACCTTTCAAAGACTACAAAATATGGCATTTAAAATGTTTTAAGCATTTAGAACTTTTCATGACAATGAGACACATCAGCTCCTAGCAGCACCAATTACTTCAAGAGGAACATGGACACTGAAAAGGCTCCTTATGGAGTTTATTGGCCATCTAGGCAGGAGACAGCTCTTGCCTGTACTGCTTGATGAACTGGACATGCAGGACCCACAGAGAAATGACTACCGAACTTGCCTAAAGGTGAGATGGTCCTTTAGGGTTGCTGCTTCATGAAAGAGTCTGCCAGACATTCTGTAGTACACAGAAGAAAGCGACTGACAAACTGTCAATATAGAAGGAACTGTCTTTAAAATTTCCTGCTTCATGAAAAGTCTGCTGGATACTATGGGCCCATAGGCTAAAGATGGATGCCCCAACAGTACAGAATAACTTTGAGTGACTGTCTAGGCAGCAGAATGTCTCTATCATTTCTAGAGTTTTGGAAGTTGCTTACAATGCACTTCCTGTTTACTTAGGTAATAATATATCCTTCTGGAATCTCTGATGGAGTTGAAGAATAGTTATAGTTTTCCTTAGATATGATAAAAGATAAAGTAGATATAAATATTGTAACTATAATTCTTGCTTGATACCTGTCTTGTTATATGTAATTTTGCTATGTTAAAATTAAAACCTTGCTTTTCATTTAAACAGAAAAGGGGAGGTGATGTGGGATTCCCCTCTGTATTACCACTGGGTAATAAAGAAACTGTTTTGGCCTGATAGGGTAGATAGGCGTAGATAAACTGAATGCTGGGAGAAAGGAGACAGGTCACAGAGAAGCCATATAGCCCTGCCAGACACAGACACTGGGAACTTTACCTGGTAAGCCACAACTACATGGAGATACAGAGATTAATGGAGATGGGTTAAATTAACATGTAAGAGTTAGCTAATGGGCTAAGCAGTGATTTAAATAATACAGTTTCTGTGAGATTATTTTGGGGCTCAGCAGCCAGGAACCAACAAGTGGCCTCCTCCAACATATGAAGAGATTTAAAGTCTCAAGAAAATTGCAATGCTAGAGTAGATACACTGTCTAAAACCTAATCCTCCATATTGGAAGGCCCGGAAGACATGCCCTTCACTAATACTAAGAGATGCAAAATGGTGAGGGGGCATCACTCCATTTGTAGAGCTCTGTTGTCACTCTTTTCCTTCTACCAGACCTTAGGGCTAGAGATGCTGTTACTCAGCTGGATGAATTAAATGCAGGTTAAATTGAGCCTCAAAGTAGCAGGGGCCAGGTGGCAGCACTGAAGTGCCAAAAGTAAGGTGATTATAGTTATCATAATGGGTAACAAAGATAAAGCAATGTCCATAATGGCCTAACCTGTAATAGGCAGCAAAGGCAAACTGATTTTTATGGTGGTATGACTCATATGGACCTTTGGTACTGGCTAATCATTCATGGTGTTTCCAGGCATAAAACAGAAAAGAAGTCTACCATATGTCTCATCTGTATAAGCAGAAAATTTCTCAAATAGATAAAAACTACAATTATATTGTAGCAAAAGAGAATCTCTGTCCACGAATCAATTTCCAGACATTAGCCAGAAAGCAGCATTCTTCAATGGTCTCTGCATCGGCTCCTGCCTTCAGGTTCCTGCCATTTGAGTTCCTGCCCTGACTTCCTTTGATGATGAACAGTGATATGAACCGTAAGCCAATAAAACTCTTTCCTCTCAAAGCTGTGTTGGTCACGCTTTTTCATCATAGCAATAATAACCCTAAAACATCATGCCTCAAAAATAAAATTAAACAAATAAATGACTATTCTCTTACCTTGTATGGAGGTTGAGGGTGAACAAGAATACCACCCTCAGTCCTCTGCAGTGACTGCTTGACTTGTTCCAATTTAATGGCCAGGTGTGCCTCAAAATACTTGCGCAGGGCCATGCAGGTATGTTTGCCTGTTTGGCGGCTAGCAAATATTTCATCATCACTCAAAAGTGCACCCTGGTCTTCCAAATTTAAAATCTCCAAAGTACTGATCTATTAGTAAACAGGTATAAGATTGCAAAGGAGATGGGGAAAGAGCACACGGAAGAGAAAAGTAAAAAGATAACAAAAAAAATTTTGGTAAATGTTTACATTCAACAATACTGACAAGTGTATCCATATATACAACATGCTAACAATCATATGAAAGAAAAATGGGAGCTTCTAGTCATATTAAAATATATAGAGAAGATGCAGTATGGTAGTGTATTCTTGTACTATAACACTTGAGAGACTGAGGCATGAAAATACTAAGTTCCAGGACAGCCAATCTACAAAGAAAATTCAAAGCTAACTTGAACTACAGAGAAATTTCCTTAAAATTTAAAAAAGGGGGGTTGGAGAGACGGCTCAGTGGTTAAGAACACTAGCTGATCTTCCAGAGGAGCTGGGTTCAATTCCCAGTACCACATGGCAGCTCACAACTGTCTGTGACTTCAGTTCCAGGGGATCCAACACCCTCACACAGACATGAATGCAAACAAAAAACAAACGCACATAAAATAAAATAAAATCTTTTTAAAAATTAACAAGAAAAGGAAAACAAAGATATACCAATCTAAAGTTGTTGCCATTTGAAAAGATCAAAATTAACCAGTTGTAGTGTGTTGTAACCCACAATTGCAATCCAGTTCCCAGCACTTGAGAAGCAGAGCCAGAAAAACCAGTAGAAGTTCAATGTCAGCATGGTTACAAAGGGAGTTCCAAACAAGGCTACATAGGGAGACCTTTTCTCACAAAATCAAAAAAAGATAAGAAAAAAATGAAGGTTATCACAGCAACCCTCCTACAAAATTACTGGGTAAATACATACATACATACATAAAGGCTACAATGGCATAGTAAGCTTAGCCTGGTTCCAAACAAGGTTACATAGTGAGACCTTTTCTCACAAAAGCAAAAAAAAAAAAAAAAAGGAAAGAAAAAAAGAAAAAAAAAGAGGAAAAATTAAGGTTATCACAACAACCGTCCTACAAAATTACTGGGTAAATACATATATAAAGGCTACAAGGGCATAGTAAACTCCAACCACCACAGACAGAGAACAGGGCTGGGTGCAGCAGTTCAACGGTATAGTAAATATGTATGGCACTTTGGGTTCAATCCTCAGCACCAAAAGAAGAGAGAGAGAGAGAGAGAGAGAGAGAGAGAGAGAGAGAGAGAAGACAGAAAGAAAATACTCATAAATAAAAAAAATATATATACAACCAAAGCCCAAAATGCCAATCAGAAATGCACCCAACTATGTACAATGATACATATCTTTGATTCTGGCACTGAGAAATAAGAGACAGGAGAGATGGTAGTTCAAAGTCCTTCTTGGCTATACAGCACATTAAGGCCAGATTGGGCTACATGAAACCTTGATTCAAACAACCAAAAGGAAATTTTCTCTCTTCTACATGATGCCTTTCAAGATAGCCGAAACAAAGAGGACTCCTATAGCTAACTGAAGAGCTAGTGAAAGAACCTCACCAAGTTCACCAGGCGACGAAGACCATCATAACGATCAAAGAGCTCCAAGACAGCCCGAAACGAGAAGCAAATTGAGAAAAACATTGTAGCATGGCAGCATCCTGAAGCATGAGAACATTCCATTAACCACAGGGTATAATTCACCACATCAGATAGAACATTGTGGGGATGCATGCAAACCTGAAAAAAGAAAAAAGTAAATAAATAAATAAAATCTATTTTTTAACGCTTGGAGCAAAGGTTTCTTTAAAAGGGATGAAAAATTCACCAGTGTAGGTAGAGATGTTTATAGAAAACAGTGATCATTCAAAGTCAGGTCTAGAACATAATCCATTCCAAACCAGAAAACTACCTAAATTAAATTAAGTACAACCTATATTGACCAAGAGCCAAAAAATATATTATTTAATGCTTCTAAATGACTCAAGGCATAAAGTATTAACATCTTGCTTAACAATTATGAAGACACTCACAGAAGTTAAGGACTGTTTTTCTTGTTTTGTTTTGTTTTCTTTTGAAGTAGTCTCACTTTGTGGCTCTAGCTGGCCTGGAACTCACTACATAGACCAGGATGGCCTGAAACTCACAGAGATCCACCTGCCTCTGTCTCCCAAGTACAAGGATCAAAGTCATGTGCCACCATGCCCAGTAAAGACATTCTTATAAATGTCTGAGCCTACTGATGATCCTAAGTGTTCAAATGTAGTATCTGCTGCTCCACTGAGTCATACAGGTCTATACCTTCTATGAATTAAACAACAAATTATAAAACATCCCCAAGGTTTGTTTGGTACTTTTTTCTATATTTTAGCCATAATTGGTTTTGTGCATATAAATAGTTTAATATTCACAAAACGTAAAATTTTAATCATTACAGTTATCTTAATAAATGAACAAAGACAAAGACAACACTCAAGACAATCACCAGTTTAACTTAAAAAGTCAACCGGAGCCGGGCGGTGGTAGCACATGCCTTCAATCCCAGCACTCAAGAAGCAGAAGCAGGCAGATCTCTATAAATTCAAGGTCAGTCTGGTCTACAAGAACTAGTTCCAGGACAGCTGGGACTATTACACAGAAAAACCGTCTCAAAAAAAAAAAAAAGTACAATACACAATATTAGAGAAATGATCCTTGTACAGAAACGGTAAGCCATCTCCTAGAGATACCCAGAGAAACCATCACTTTCCAAATGTACAACCCACTTACTTTTAAAAACGATCACTAACATGAAAAACTTAATGGAAAAACAAGACTCAAACTAAGAATTGATGGAGGAGGGTTATCTGTCTATTGTGTTATTTTCATTGGTCAATAAAGAGACTGCCTTGGCCCTTTGATAGGACAGAAAATTAGGTAGGCGGAGTAAACAGAACAGAATGCTGGGAAGAGGGCAATGAGGCAGATGCCATGGAGCCAGCCACCAGGTCAGACATGCTGAATCTTTTCCGGTAAGCCACTACCTCGTGGTGCTACCACGAGATTATTAGAAATGGGTTAATATCAAGATCTGAGAGTTAGTCAGTAACTAACTCTCTAGAGATAATGGGCCAGGCAGTGTTTAAATGAATATAACTTGTGTGTTATTATGTCTGGGGCTAAGCTAGCTGTGCGGGAGCCGGGCAGGATGAAAAGCAGACCTGCCCGCAGCTCCTCACAACAAAGAATGACAACAGCTGAAATTAGTTTACTATCTCCATCACAAATTATTTAACATACATAAAGCATCACCTGTTTATATAATAAACTGACTTTAAAATATAATACAGTTCTACTGAGACACAAATGAAAAGTGCTTGGCTACTAATCGTAACGCCATAGAAATCAAAGAAAGCAAATAAAGCTTGTGGAACATCTGTCCTGCACTTTCTCAGTAGAGTCAAAATTCTCTAAATAATTTTACATTTTACATTTTAGGAAGCTTTATGAAGATATGCATTCACATTCCTCAAGTCTTTCATAAGAATTTCATTTTTTCCAACTGTTCCTTTCTTCTTATCCAAACGTTCATCTGTGAATGTGCTGCTTTAAAGAAATGGTTCCCATCAAACCCACTCTCATCACCTGAATGGACCAGACTTACTCTTTCCATAGCATCCTGGTTGTAGGACAGGTAATACAAGCACATGGATACACCAGTTGCAGCCATAGAAGGACGAGGAATTTCCAGTAATTTCTGTACTCCACCATGTGCAACAAATTCTGTGGCAAATTTGTTATGGAGCAGGAGAGATGCTAGGTGCTAAACAGTAAGGACACATGTTACAGTAGAATAACCAAAAACATAGCAAATCTCTTAACATAATATTAGCTTCTACAGAGTCATAAGTACAAAACCACCATCTCAAAAAAAGAAAAACTAGAGTAGAGATAAAGGAGAAGGAAAAAAAGAAAGATGGAAGAAAGAAAACACAAAGGGGGCCAGGTCAGGCAGTGGTGGCACATGCCTTTAATTCCTGAACTAGAGAGGAAGAGACAGGTGGATCTCTGTGAGGCAAGCATGGACAAGTTCCAGAACAGCCAAGGCTACAAGAGAAACCCTGTCTCAAAAAGAAAAAGAAAAGAAACAGAAGGGAAAGAAAAAGAACAGCTTAAAATTCTACAGCATCCCCCTTTCCCTTCCTAACACGGAAAGGTATTCAACTTTCCAGGACCCATGGGAGTAGGGAGGCAGGGTAGGAATAGAACCTGGATACCTGCTAAACATGAGCTATACCCTCTGCAACAGGTTAAAAACATGAAATGGGCTATCTGCAGTATTCTTGTTACTGCCCACCCTTGTAGGATACGAAATAAATAAACCTGCTTTCTTTTTCTACCAAAAAACAACAACAACAAAAACAAAACAAAACAAAACAAAACAAAAAAAACCTCTACTGGAGATGATGCCAGGCAGTGGTGGTGCACACCTTTAATCCCAGCAGAGGCAGGCAGATCTCTGTGAGTTCAAGGCCAATCTGGTCTATAAGAGCTAGTTCCAGGACAGGCTCCAAAGCTACAGAGAAACCCTGTCTTGAAAAACAAAAACAAAAACAAACAAAAAAAAAATGTGAGGCGATGAAAAGACCAGCTATACATTTCTGCTACCATGACTTGCCTTCCTACATGATGGACTGATTATATTTTATCCCTTCAAACTGTAAGCCAAAATAAGCCCTTCTTCCACTAAAAAAAGAAAACAAAAACAAACAAAAAGCAAGATACATGAAGCAAGGCATGCCTATAATCTTAGCACCTTAGTAGGCTAAGACAGGAGAACAACTTCAAGGCCAAGAAGTTGTGAGACCGTGTCTCAAACAGAAAGTTAAAAGAGCTAGAGGAAGCAGATTACTGGTAGAGTGCTTGCATAGCATTCCTAAGGCCCTAAATTAATTCCTAGTACCCACAAACACAAAAGGTGAAAATAATAAACCTGGTTGAAAGCAATGGCACAATTTTACAATCATTTTTTCATATATGTTTCCTGAGTAGACTTTTGCTAACCTTGACAATTTAATTCTTCATATATAAGCAGCTTAGTGTTCTAATCCAAGTTCAATCACTGACTTTATGAAGTCCAGAAATTTTTCTTTTCTATTTATTTTCAATATAACCCCAAACAATTAAAAAAAAAAAAAAAAAAGAACTTTCTGAGACAAGGTTTCACTCTGTATCCCAAGCTGGTCTCCACCTCTCAAGTGCTGGCATTAATACCAAAGAAGAACCTTAAGCAAAGAATCAAAAGTGGCAGAAGTTTTGTTGTTGTTGTTGTTGTGATGTATCAGAATGCATTTTTAAAAATTAAATCTTTGGCCAAGCTGAGGTGGCACATGCTTTTAATCCCAGCCCTCGGAAGGAAGAGGCAGGTGGATCTCTATGAGTTTGAGTCCAGTCTGGTCTACAGAGCAAGTTCCAGGACAGCCAGTTACACAAAGAAACCCTGTCTCAAAATTAAACATTTTATTAGATTTATTTATTCTATAAGTAGCTATGGTGTTACATGTGGAGGTCAGAGAACAACTTGACTTGCAAGAACTGGTTTTCTCCTTTCACCATGTGGTTTCCAGAGATCAAACTCTGGTCATCAGGCTTGGCCCTAACTTGCTGAACCATCTCACAGGCCCTAAATAGGGTATCCTACTAGCCTTGAACTCACCGCCTCCCCACAGCTGGGGTTACAATAATGCATCACAACACCCAGTTAAAATTCTAACATTTAAGTTTTGTTAATCTCCTGCTCAATTCCTACTAGTCTCCCAGGGTAGAACAACCTGCACAATTTTAAGGACAAAGTGTCCAACAAAAGTGGGATGTTCTTCATATTTCTGAACCCAGGAGCCTCAAAGACAGGGCCTCAGGAGGGCTAGAGCTCCCCCTCCTGTTTCCAGAACAGACAATACAAGTTTGCAATTACATTCTTGAAGAGATAAAAACCAACAGCACCATTAACAGGTATCTATCTACCCCATTCAGAAGTTCTCAACACCTAGAGCTCAACTAACCCTTACTAAAACTCAATTCCTTTCCTTCATTATCCTTTTGTGTGTCATAAAGACCTCTACTATTCTTCCCCCCAATTCTTCCCTCAAGAAGCAGCTAAACTAGATATCTATTCCCAGTAACTCATGCCACATGGATGGTTTTCTCATAATGTCACTACCATATCATGATAATTCACAAAAGGTGGTAAAACAGAATAAGCAGGGTTAATATGTATCAAGAAACCTAGTTTTACTTGAGTTCTCACCACCTATAAACCCTCTTCACCTCACCCTGTCAGCAGTCTGTTTTCTATTTTGATAGTCTGGGCCTGGAACTAGCTCTGTAGACCAGACTGGCCTCACACTCAGAGATTTGCCAGCCTCTGCCTCCTGAGTACTGAGATTAAGGGTGTGCACCACCATAACCAGCCACAATTTAACCCATTTTGTTTCTATCAGAATGTTCCTTTCTGTTCTTTCTCTTACATAACTTGAATCATCCTTTAGAACAAAATGGTACACCAGGATTTCTTTGTGTGTGTTGTGCGGAGGGGAGGGGATATGTACGTAAGATAGTAAGTATGTGGGTGCCCAAGGAGGACAACAGATATCCTGGAGCTGGAGTTACAAGCAGTTATGAGTTGCCAAATAGGGATTCTGGAAACCAAACTTGGTATTTTAACTGCTGAGCCATCTCTCCAACTCCAATTTTGTTTCTAAGAAGGATCTTTTAAGTTTTTCCTTGTTCATAGATATTTCATTCTTTTGTCCCTTTTATAACTTTTTAAAGGAACAGATGGATGATAATACCCATTGCAATTCCAAAGAGAGTGAGTAAACATCCATCCAAAGTCACTATCCAATAGCATCTTGTTCAAAACCAGTATATTTTGTAGTATTTTGTAGTATTTCTGGGCCACTGGACACAGCTCCAACCTCCAGTCCCATTTCACTGTTCAAGGTATAACCACTCAGTACACTCTTTAAACAGACATAGATAGAAACAGACAGAATGACAGACAGAAACACACAAACACAAACCCCACTCCCACATATTACTCCAATTCTGTCTGATCTCATCCAAACGTAAAATGTCTAGGGATTAAAAGATAAACTTACTCATTTCAATTCCACTTCAACAATATATGGCTGTACTACTGTTTGATGCAGCACACTGGTGACATGAAGGTTAACTTAATCAAAATAACTAAAATTTAAAATGTAAAGCCAGGCAAATGTAATCCCAACACCAAAGAGGCTGAGACAAGAGAACTGCTGTAAGTTTGAGGTCAACTTGGTCGAGACATGAGTTCCATGCTAACCTGTGCCACAGACTGAGACCCTGTCTCATAAGTAAATAAATGAAACTTCAGTTCTTCAGAGATACTCTATTTTCAAGTACTGAGAAATCACATAGGGCTAGCCAGTACTGCTGTACTAACTGCCTTTAACATGAGCTTCATAAACATCAAGTAATAACAAAAACTAATATTTTGCAAACTTTACCTTGAGTGCCTCAAAAGTAAGAAGGACATCATTAGTCTGTTTCAGATCAATATAAAACATCATCAATTCTCGTGATCCAAGTTGCATGAATATAGGAAGTAACTGAAATGAGAACCAAAAAATAAGAATTGTGGCTTTTTCACATCCCCTGTATTTTATGAATGAAGACTATTAAAGAAATGAAACCACAATGAATATATAAAAAGAAAATTAAGAAAAACTTTAAAAAAACAGTCACACACCCCTCATGAATGATATGTTCGTATGTGGTGGTGGTTTGAATAGAAATGGGCCCAGACTCATGTGTTTGAATACTTGGTTCATAGGGAGTGACACTATTAGGGGGTGTGACTTTGTTAGAAAAATATGTCACTGGGGATGAGGGTACTCTGAGGTCTCAGAATCTCAAACCAGTTCGCTTCATGCTTCCTGTCAACTCAGATGTAGAACTCTGAACTTCTTCTCTAGCACCATGTCTGCCTGCATGCCACCATGTTTCCTGTCATGAGGATAATTGACTAAACCTCTGAAACTGTAAGCCAGCCCCAATTAAATGTTTTCTTTTATATGAGTTGCTGTGGTCATAGCACCTCTTCAGAGCAACAGAAACCCTAAGACATATATTCACACACCATATATTTACATGAATAAATTTTTATCAAACTAACCTTTATCAGGAATGACCTGTATAAGACCTTAATGAGATGAAGACCTTTCTGGAAGGGAGTTAAGAGTGCATCAGTGGGTAAGATACACCCATAAAATTCCCTAGAGATAAATATAATAGCCCCATAATAGTCCAAAATAGTACCTTATCCTAATAACTTACCTCCTGATACTCTCCTAGAGGAGTCAGATACTGAAGAATAAGTCGCTGCTCAATAGCAGGAGTCATAGGATAGAGGGTATAATTGGTGCCAATCACCCAGGGAGACATTTCTGACCAACTGCTATTAGACAGCTCAACAAAAACACGATCAGGGTCAGAAGATGAGAAACCCAACTTCTGCTTGGCCTTCCTAAAGTTCTCCCTGTCACCATGCTTTGCAGACTTGTTCTTCTTCAATCCTCCTTCCTCAGGCTTAGTTGCTGAGTTCACTCTACTACTGGTCTTGTGACTTGAATCAAGACGAAAGGAGATCTCCATATCTCTAGAAGTTTCTTGCTCTCCATCTACAACATCTACAGCCATGTCACCATAGTCCATATCTACAGCTTCCTCATCTAGAGGCAAAAGCGGTTCAGATGAAAGCTTCCGTGGACTAGGACGCTTATTTTCCTGTCGCAAAGCCACTTCCTGAAGTTGTAGCTCTCTCAGTCTTCGAAGCACTATTGCCACCTACCAACAAATATTTGAGTAAAAGAAGTTATTTATTCTGAATTTTATGAATATCATTTTTTTTCTTTTGGTTTTTCGGGACAGGGATTCTCTGTGTATCTCTGGCTGTCACTCTATAGACCAGGCTGACCTCAAACTCACAAGAGATCCACCTGTCTCTGCCTCTGAGTGCTGGGATTAGAGGTGTGCGCCACCATCAACCGACTAATGATTCTTATTAAGTAATTCTTTTCTTTTAGCTTATTTTATGAGGTGGAGTTTCACTCTTCCTCTGTCTGTCAAATGCTAAGATTTATAGGCACATACCACCACAAACAGCTCATTAATATATTATTATTTTCTGTTAAGGAAAACTCAATACTTGGGATTGGAGAGATAGCTCAGTGGTTAAGAGCATTGGCTGCTTTTCCAGAGACACTGAGTTCAATTACCAGCAACCATACGGTGGCTCAAAACCATCTGTAGCGAGATCTGGTGCCCTCTTCTGGCCTACAGGCACACAAGCAGACAGAACACTGTATACATAATAAATAAACCTTTTAAAGAAAAGGAGAACTCAATACTTAAGCAGTTAACCCAACGCAGGGGAATAGTAAAGATTAGATAAATGTGTTGATTTGATTGCTATAATTTGGTGAAATAAGTTAAGACTAAAAGTTTATTTTAAGCTGGGTGTACTGGACCACGCCTTTAATGCCAACACTCAGGAGGCAGGTAGCTCTCTGTGAGTTCGAGGCCAGCCTGATCAGAGTACACTCCAGGACAGCAAGAGCTGTTACACAGAGAAACCCTGTCTCAAAAAAACTAACAACAACAACAAAAAAAGGTCTATTTTAAAATGTATGTCTGTGGTTTTTTTTTTCCTAGAAAACCCAAACCAGAAGATCTGCACATAAAACACACCATTTTGGGTCAAGGTAAACTAGGTTATGCATCCACTTAAAAAAGCAGAAGCTGGGGGCTAGAGAGATGGCTCAGAGGTTAAGAGCATTGCCTGCTCTTCCAAAGGTCCTGAGTTCAATTCCCAGCAACCACATGGTGGCTTACAACCATCTGTAATGGAGTCTGGTGCCCTCTTCTGGCCTGCAGCATACACACAGACAAAATATTGTATACATAATAAATATTTTTAAAAAAAAAAAGCAGAAGCTAAACTTTTCATTGACTTTGAAAAATCAAAACTAAAGATTTCAAAAACTTACTGACTATACATTGTATGTCATTAGCAACTACATAATCTAATTTCCAAATCTGCCTTTTTAAACCTTCTAGTACTTATTTCTAGAGCCAATACTAAAACCTGGTTCTATGTTTACTTGAGTGCAGTGGTACACGCCTATAACTTCAGCATTTGGGGTACTGAAGGAGAAGAACTGCTACAAGTCTGAAGCAGGCAGAAAGAAAATACACAAACAAAAAAATAAATAAATAAAGAGGGGGGAATAGCAAAGCAATAAAGAATGAAACTATGCAAAAAAGAGGGTTTATGGCCAGGTGCACGCCTTTAATCCCAGCACTGGAAAGGCAGAGGCAGGCAGATCTCTGTGAGTCCAAGGCCAGCTTGGTCTACACAGCAAATTCCAGAATAGGTTACAAAGCTACAGAAAACCTTGTCTCAAGAAGCAAAATTAAAAATAAAAATAAAAGGGAGAGTGTATCTGGATTTTAATCTGAATTGGATTTCTTTTAAAATTTAGAATAGTGGATAAATGGAAGGTAGATATGTAAGCTAACAATAATGAGTTCAATAAAAATGTTAATAACCCATTCAACTGGTACAGATCTAAAATTCTTTCCAATTTGCTACATTTCAAAATCTTCAGAGCACAAAATTTAAGAAGAGAAATGAGAACAAGACATAGGGAATGATTTATATGTCATGATCCCTGACAAGATTTTTTTAAAAGTTTAAATGTCAAAAAAGAAAAGTAAAATTCAAACTCTTTACTATGGAAAGAAATATTAAAGTACTGCTATAACAATGTTCTAGTACATGTTTTGATAGAATACACCTATTCAGATTCAGGAAGCAAGTGTGCAACAATTCTCTCTAAGATGGTCCTTACCAGTTGTGAATTTTCATCTCTATAGTTGGCAGCAATATCTTGATTTTCCATAGCACCTCCTAACAGTCCAGTAGAGTATGTCCTCAGTGGCTGATCAGCCTCTCGGGCCCATTTGAAAAGATTTTCAACAATTCCTTCCTATAGTAAAGGACAAGAAATAGTATTAATCATAAAAGATCTATTTTCATAACTTAAATTAAAAGCCAAGGTTTCTATACCATGACAAAAAAAAAAGCTAATGAATATTTCAGTGATGGACTAGAGATGGTTCAGTCGTTAGAGGGAGCTTGTTGTGCAATCATAAAGACCCAAGTTCAGATCCCAGCACCCACAAAACCAGTATCCCACAGATAACTGTAACTCCAAAGGAGTAAAGAAAAAGAATACTACTGGGGCACCCTGGCTTCCAGTCCAGCAGAGAAAATGTGAACCTCTAATTTAAGGAAAGACTGTCTCAAAGGAACAGGTGGACAGCAACATAGCAGACCACCTGATACCCTCTTCTGGTCTCTAAGTGTATGTACAGGCCCATGCCTACACATGTATACACACACACACCCCTTTAAAAACTATATTCCAGTGTTGTTAATAAAAGTAACTAGGTTTAATCTCCATTACCACAAAGAAGGAAAAGGAGCAAAAATTTAAATGAGACCATAATATACTGTTTAAAACATGACCTTAAGATTCTGAAAAATACTATTTCACCCATATAACAGGTAGCTATCCAAATAAAATACTTTTGTTGTTTTGGGAGATAGGATTTTATGTAGACCAGGGTGGCCTTGAACTCCAAATTAGCAAACATATGACTTTGAGCTCTTGATCCTCCAATATCAACCATCCCCATGCTGAGATAGCAATTGTATACCCCAATGCAAATAACTGTTTTTAGAATTTTTTTTTGTTTATCTAGAGTATACACTGATACTTGAATAGGAAAAAATTAACAGTTACTGTAGTAACAAGTACAAATACAGTAATTCGATCCACTTGATTCAAAAACACAATGATTTTCTTCTATCAAGTACCTTTTCTTGAAAGACAACCGCAGTTTCTAGACCTGGCATGATGTCCAGCAGCAGTCTGCAAGCTGCAGTATTTAAAGGGGGCTCTCTACTTGTCATCACATACGCATTCACCAGCTGGAAAGAAAGCGGAAAGAAAAACAAAGGGAGGGATAAGGAGTTAAAGGTAGGTAGACATGATCAATGTACTATATATGTGTGTGTATATATATATTTAAGTATTAAAATGAATGTCATCAACCTGTATAATCAAAAAGTATTAATAATTGCGGTCTTTTTTTGAGACAGGGTTTCTCTGTGTAACTTCAGAACCTATCATAGAACTCTGGAACTCGCTCTGTAGACCAAGCTGGCCTCAAACTCACAAAGATCTCGAACTCCACCTGTCTCTGCCTCCCGAGTGCTAGGATTTAAAGGTGTGCATCACCATTGCCCAGCAATAACTGCAATTTTTAAGACAGCTATAAAGGAATACTATTTGTTCTGGAATCAATACAATCAAATTTTAAAAGTTTACTAAGTTTATTAAACTTATTTATTAAACTTCCTTTCTATTAAGTTTAACAACTTCCTTTATTTGATTGGATTGGATTGAATTGAATATATCCCCATAGCTTTTGAGGAGGGGGTTATTTTAAAAAAGGGTCTTACGTAGCTTAATCTGACCCCAAACTCAAATCTTTCTCCTCCCTCAGCCTGCCAAGTGCTAGGATAGATTACATACATAAACAATCACACTGGTTCCCCTCATTTTCTACCTCTAATTACTAATATCCATAATTTCTTGAGCTACTGCTACTTTCAGTAACTGTGAGAGAAGTGTGCATATAATGTGTGTATATACATGCACACTGTCTCTCTCACTCTCATTTACTCTTCACAACAGACAAAAGGCACCTTCCTAGCCACTCACATACCAAAGCACATACAGCTTTAGTGCAGAATCCTACAATGTATATCACTCTTACTTTTCCATTCAGGAATCCATAAGAGTATTTTATGTTCCTAAATCAAGAATCCCGCCAAAGAATAAGCAGTGATACCCTGAGAGCATTTACCAATAGTTCACACTAAACAAAGTACAACCAAACAGAAAATAATTTCATCACAAACAGAACTTTGTTGAAAAAGCAGCTTGATTACTTTTTCAATAACCAAATTTAAAAGAAAATTCTAACCACTCTACTCTCAATTTTAACAAAGTCTGAGATGACAGGAAACTATTAAATAAACAAATCTTCTGATAACTTCTGGATGAAAGCAAAGGCAAACGTACTGCATTCATGAAGTCGTCATTCTTGAAGAGTATTCTCAGCAAGTGGCCCAGCATACACTCTGGATCGGCTCGACCTACCACAGGAAGAGGGAGACACAACAGATTAGGAAATTCTGTTAAATAAATTAGACCTACAAAATAACATCTGGGTTCTTATAAATATGGCTAGTAAACTGTCAGCAAAAATAAACAGAAACAAAGAGAAGATTTCTGTGAGCAAATTTAAAAAGAAATATGTTTTAGGGTTAGAGATGGCAGCACACACCTTTAATATCAGCACTTGGTAGGCAGAGGCAGGCAGAGCTCTATGAGGTTACCCTTGGTTTACACCTAGCACTCTGGAGGCAGAGGCAGGTGGATCTCTGTGAGTTCAAGGCCAGTCTGGTCTACAAGAGCTAGTTCCAGGACAGGCTCCAAAGCTACAGAACCCCATATTGGAGAACAAACAAACAAACCAAAAAAAAAAAGGAAAAAAATCATTCTCTAGAGGCTGGGTAGACAGATTAGTCACTAAAGTGCTTACCATGCAAACATGAGAACCTGAATTTGATCCCTAAAATTCACATATAAAGCCAGGCATGATAGTGCACACTTGAAATCACAGCAATTGGAAGGTAGAGAAACAATTATTCCTACATCAGTCATCCTAGCCAAAATGGGAGTTCCAGGTCCCCAGCGAAAGACCCTGTCTAAGAACCAGATGGATGGCTCCTGAGGAACAACACCTTAAGATGATGCACATGCACACATACCAACAAAAAAGTGCACTCACATACTAACATATATGTGAACATACATACTGTGGAATAATCCTTCTGTACACTGAATATGTAATATTCTCAGTGGTTAATAAAGAAGCTGAATGGCCTACAGCAAAGCAGGATAAAGTTAGGCAGGACAATCAAACTTAGGATACTGGGATGAAGAAAGGCAGAGTGAGAAAATAAGCAACAGGCGCAGGGAGAATAAGATGGGCATGCCATACTGAGAAAAGGTACGCAGACATGCGGCAAATCATAAATAAGAAATATGGGTTAATTTAAAGGTAAGAATTAGCCAGTAACAATACTGATTATCTATGTTGATTTTGGGGGAAGCAAATGCAACACAGGGAAACTTCTGCCTACACATACACACACAAACATACACTCCCCTCACCTGACACACACACGGAAAAAAAGAAATTGCTGGGCAGTGGTGGCTCAAACTTTTAATCCCAGAAACTTGAGAGGCAGTGGTAGACAGATCTCTTATGATTTCCAGGCCAGCCTGGCCTACAGAGTGAGTTCCAGGACAATCAGGGCTACATAGAGAAACACTTTCTCAGCAAAAAAAAAAAAAAAAAAAAAGAAGAAGAAGAAGAAAAAGAAGAAAGAAATTCTTTAAAATTAAATATAATATAAACTCCTTAAGGCACTGATCCTTCCACTGCTCATGACACTGTCTATACAACAATACTAAATTAAATAATGACACTATGAATCTAGATGAGCATCAAGATTTTATTAGCTTAAAAAAAAAAGGAGGCTGAAGAGATGGTTCAGTAGTAAACAGTACTTGCTGCTCTTACAGAAGACCCAGATTCAGCTCACAACTGTCAACTGTATTTCCCAACATTTACCAGGATAATTGTTTCAGATGAAGGTGCAATAAAAGCTTGTTTTGCTTTTTTAAGTTAAAAGTGGGGGTTGGAGAAAGGGCTACTGTAATGATTCAGTGGATAAAAGGGCTTTTGCCACACAAGTCTGATAGCCTGAGTTCATCCACTGAACCCACAGTGGGAAAGGAAAAAAAAACGACTCTTGAAAGTTTTACATCTTTTAATGTCAACATTCTGCTCACCATGGCAGAATCACACTTGAATACCTACCTACCTACCTACCTACCTACACACACACACACACACACACACACACACACACACACACTAAATGAAACAAAAAAACTTAAACAAAAAATTGTAAAGTCAGCTGGGCAGTGATGACACACATCTTTCAGCCCAGCACTCAGATCCTGAAAGTGATCTACAACCATTAAAAATATTTTTTTTCTTTGTGGTTTTTTTTGTTTTGTTTTGGTTTGGTTTTTTTTTTTTGGTTTTTTTGTCGAGACAGGATTTCTTTGTATAACAGAGCCCTGGCTGTCCTGAAACTTGTTTTATAAACCAGACTGGCCTCGAACTCACAAAGATCTGTCTGCCTCTACCCCCGGAATGCTAGGAATAAAGATGTGTGCCACCGTGCCTGACTTATCACAAATATTACAATTTTACTAGAATGTTTTTCCTTATCTCACCTTGAGAAACAGGATAACAAATAATTTTTGGGGGAGAGGGTCTCACTATGTAACCCTGGCTCCTGGCTATTCTGGAACTCACTACATTTAAGCCGGGCTGGTCTCAATAAACTCACAGAAATCCACGGCTTCTGCTTCCCAAGTGCCTGGGATTAAAACTTGTGCTACCATGCCCGACCTAAACATAAAAACTTAAAATTTACAACAGAGAGCCAGGCAGTGGAAGCATGGACCTTGAATCCCAGCACTCAGGAGGAAGAGACAGGCAGATTTCTATGAGTTCAAGGCGAACCTGGTCTATAGAGTAAGTTCCAGGATAGCCAGGCTACACAGAAAATCCTCTGGGGGGGAGGGGGGAGGGATTTACCTCAGAGGACGTTATTACAATTGAAAGATACTATTAGCAATTTTATTCATTGTTTTTTACTACTACCTATGTGTTGGTGGGGTATGATGTGTGATGTCTATGTATATATGAACATGCCAAAGTAGTCCACTGCACATATACAGAAGTTAGATAACAATCTTGAGAGGGTTCCTCCTTTACCTATACATAAGCTCCAGGATCAAACAGAATACAGCCTGTCAGGCTACAGCAGGCACTTTTATCCGCCAAGTCATCTGTAAAGCCCAATAATTTTCTTTTGTAAGAAAAAAAAAACACGGGAGGGGGGAAAAAAAAGAAAGAAAGAGAAGAAAAAAAACACATGGGCACAGTGGAGCATGCCTGTAATCTCGGCTACTCATGAGGCTATGGTGGGAGAATCAAGAATTTTGGACCTGTCTGAACAGCAAAGCAAGACCCTTTTTCAATAGAAATACAAAATAAAAAAGTCTCAGACATAAGAGTATATACATCTTACCAGGATGTCGATCATCAAATGGGTCTGGATCTCCTTTACGATATTCTTCAGTTTCTTTTTCAATTAATTCTGACATCCTAGCACAAAAAGGAAAGAGTCAACTCTGAACAAGCATACAAAAAATGCCAGGCAAAATAGTAAACACCCAAAATCCGAACACTCAGGAGGCTTAGGCAGAAGGCCTGCTTTTAAATCCAAGGGCAAGCTGGGCTATAATGAGCATCATCAGGCCAGTCAGGACCACATAATGAGACCACGTTAGAAAAAAAAGCAAAAGTAAAATTCAAAGAAAATGTGCATCAATCAATCAATAGTCATGGTGTGAAACAGTTAGGAAAACATGATTTTTCTGATGAATAACAAAATCTAAATAATCACCTCATAACATAATTTCTACTCTCAATGTTCTCCAAACTTCTGTGCATCACAAAACAACACTACTACCACCTCAGAAATTTAAAGTCAACAAATCACCATTACAATCTTCATTTTCAAATAGACATGGTTTAGCACATGCCTGTTCTAACAGCAATCAGAAGGTTGAATCCCAAGTTTGAAGCCACCCTGAGGTATACACTAAGTTCAAAGCATCTGGGCTTTAAAAAAAATTCCTTCTCCTCATTCAGTAATTCCTGTAACCATACCTACCAGACATCTTCTGATTTCAATCATCTCAAAACCTTGACAACTGTTATCCTTAAACAGACTCCTACCATTAACTATGTGAACTACTTCCAATACTCATTTTGCAGCTCTTGGTTCCTACTTCTCTGCTTTACTTAACATATTTTAGTCTCCAGCTCCAGGGACTAACTATATTCCTTGAATTAATTCAATACTATGGCCTGCAATTATATAGCTTGACCAGTTTTGGAATGCTTCTTCTACTCTCTTTTATTAAAGTTCAAACATTTGACCCTCTATGTTATTCAAAGAACCAAAACTCCTACTTCAGGAGCCATTCCACATTCTGTTTTGTTAACCTTCCACCATCTAGGCCTCCACCACAGCCCAAGTAGCCACTCTTCTGTTTTTGATTACTAGCGATTAGTTTTGCCTGCTCTAGAATTTTACATAAAAATTATATAAAGTCTTATTATGCCAGGATCCTTCTAGAAAAGCATCCATGTTGTAATATCAAACTCCTTTTTATTCATAAACTCTTTTTGATTCTTTTGTGTACATGTACATGTATATGGAGGTCAGAAGACAATCCCAAGTATCATTCCTCAGGAATGCAGTCCATAAGGTTTTTCTTTGAGACAAGGTCTCTCACTGGACTGGAACTCATCAAACAGGATAGGAAGGCAGATCAGTAAGTCTCAGAGATCCTCCTTGCTCATCCTTCCCAGCACTGGAATTACAAATGTACATAATCCAGATCTAACTTTTTTTGTTTTAAACACTTGGTTCTGGGTATCAAACTCACACTTGCAATAAATATACTTTAGTAACTAAGCTGTCTTCCCGAGCCCTCCTCCTGTTTATTTATTCTTTTGTGGCAAAATTTGATTTAGTTCAGGGTAGGCTCTAACTCCTTATGAAGCCGAGAATGACCTCAAACTCATAATAATAATTTCTGTTTGCCAAACAACAATATCAAAAGTATATGCCACTATGCTTTGCTATTCATACAAACCTGATGAAAACAAGAAAATTATTTGAGTATCCTAACCTAAAACAAGTCTGACATTCTGGTCTTTTTTTTTTTTTTTTTTTTTTGGTTTTTCGAGACGAGACAGGGTTTCTCTGTGTAACAATCCTGGCTGTTCTGGAACTGGCTTTATAGACCAGGCTAGCCTTGAACTCACTGGGATCTCCCTAACTCTGCCTCCCAAGCACTAGCATTACAGGTATGTGCCACTATCACACAGTTTAAGGACATTTTTTATATAGATTATGAGATGGAGTTTATTAATCCTTTACTCTATTATAATGATAACTCTCTAACAGTATGCTATACATCTCCAAGTCAAACTTGCCTATATAGTTTAGCTATATAAAACCAAATTCCTCATAGTTTTCCCTTTGTATATGTGTATGCATGCATATATGTACAAACACACCATGACAGAGCATATGTGGAGGTCAAAGAGCAACCACCAAGAGTGAGTTCTCTCCTTCCACCATATGGGTTTCTTGGATGTCCTGGAAACAAGATGTAGACCAGACTAACCTCAGTTAATAGAGCTCCACCTATCTAACACATGTGCCACCAAATCCAGCTAAATTTCTCACTTTTCAAAAATTACGTGTGTCTGTGTGGGGATATGTGCACATGAGGCCAGAAAAAGAAGTTGAATCCCCAGGAACTCGAGTTATTGGTGGTTGTGAGCAACCCAATATGGGTGTTGGGAACCAAACTCTGTAAGAATAACAAATGTTATGCTCAGTCATAATGCTAGCACCAATACATCTTTTTTTTTTTTTTGAAAGATAAGTTTTGTGTAGAAAATAACAAATTATTCTTACCTGGTAAGTATAGGTACCATATCCTGCCCACTGCCATGGTCCTTTTCCCACTGCTCCAGCAGGGTAGTGAGCTCAGCTTTGGAGTCCACATGTACCACTACTGTAGTCATGGTTTGGCCTAAAGAAGTCAAAACAGTAAGAAATGAACAAAACAAACATACCTGACATAGTTCCCACAAAAAAGAAAAGCGTAAAGGTAAGGAATAAACTGGACTGGGGAAGACGGCTCACTTGTTAGTCTGAGGCCAGCCTGGTCTACACATTGAGTTTTACTCCTGCTAATGCAACACACAGAAACCCTGTCTCCAAAATGGGGAGGGGGGACTGAAATTAAATAGGTGATGGCTACAATCAATAGTGAATCTACTAAATACCACTGGGTTATAAATTAACAATCTTCGGGGATGGGGAGGCTCTCACTAGTAGCTCTACTGATTTAGAACTCACTATGTAGCCATCACACGAAGCTTACATTTTTTTTTATAGGCAGGATATGTATCCTAGGCTAGATCTGTTTGGGGTTTTTTTGTTTTATTGGGGGGGGGCAGGGTTTCTCTGTAGCTTTGAAGCCTGTCCTGGAACACGCTTGGTAGGCCAGGCTGGTATCGAATTTAGAGATTCACCTGCCTCAGCCACCTGAGTGCTGGAATTAAAGGCATGTGCCAGCATCACCAGGCCCTAGGCTAGTTTTGAATTCACTTTATACCCAAGAATGACTTTGATTTTCTGATCCTTGTACCTCCCAAGAGCTAGGATTAGAGATATATAACCATCACAGAGGTTTATATAGTACTGAGGATTGAACTGAGCTTCATGCATATTAGACAAGTGCTCTACCACATGAGAACAGTCTAGCCCCTTTTGATTTTTTTTCCCATATTTTCAATAGAGGTTAAAAAAAAACTAATAAAAAAAAACCTCACTATGCCCTTTATCCTAGTACTTCAAAGAAAAATTCAAGAACATCTCTGTGAATTTGAGTTCCAGGACAATCAGAACTAAAGAGAGAGAGAGAGAGAGAGAGAGAAAGACGAGAGAGAGAGAGAGAGAGAGAGAGAGAGAGAGAGACCGTGACTCAAAAAGAACAAGCTGCTGGGTGGTGGTGGAGCACACCTTTAATCCCAGCACTCGGGAGGCAGAGACAGGCAGGTCTATGTGAGTATGAGGCCAGCCTGGTCTACAGAGCGAGTCCAGGACAGTTAGGGCTACATTAAAAAAAAAAAAAAGTGTCTCAAAAACTCAAAAAACAAAGCAAACAAAAATTTATGAAGGAATAAGGAATACCCTAAGCACTCAGCCTTCTAGAACATAGAGTTACAGTTTTGTGCTACTTTCACTTACTTTTAGTTGGAACTTTTTGGGGTTTTTGTTTTTTTGAGTGGTCTAGTTGCCCAAATTGTCCTTAAACTCACTATCACCGAGGTAAACCCTGAACCTTGGATATTCCTAGTTTGGCTTTGAGTCCTGGGTCTTTAGGCCTGCCACACTAGGCCAACCCATTGTGGTAATGTGAATGTAATTGGCCCACATAAAATCATAGGGAGTGGCATTATTAGAAGGTGTGGCCTTGTTGGAGGAAGTATATCACTGCGGAGGTCTCCTATGCTCAAGCTACATCCAATGTGAACACGGACTACTACTTCTGCTGCGCGTGGATCAAGATGTAAAACTCTCAGTTCCTTCTCCAGCACCATGTCTGGTAGCACACTTCCATGATAATAATGAACTAAACCTATGAAACCATAAGTCATCCCACTTAAATGTTTTCCTTTAAACAAGTTGTCGTGGTCATAGTGTCCCTTCACAGCAATAGAAACCCTAAGACATCCATGTTGCCCAAGGTTTGTTTCTTTTTTTTCCAGAGTTTTACTACGTAACTTGGGCTTGAACTCAAATTCATGACTGTTCAGCTTCAGTCACCTGAGTCCTGGGATTATAAGTGTGCACCACCACACCTACTACATTAACATTCTATTTTCAAAGTTCCTCTACATATTAGTACAATTTAAAGAAAAAAATGTTTTTAAAGAACAAGAAAGTAACACAGGCAGTGGTAGCGCATGCCTTTAATCCCAGCAGTCGGAAGGCTTAGGCAGGCGGATCTCTGTGAGTTCAAGACCAGCTGGTCTACAGAGCGAATGCCAGGACAGGCTCCAAAGCTACACAGAGAAACCCTGTCTCGAAAAACCAAAAATATAAAAAGTAAAAAGTAGCTAGGCAGTCATGGCACATGCCTTTAATCCCAGCACTTGAGAAGGAGAGGCAAGCAGATCTCTTGAGTTTGAGCCTGGTCTACATAGCGAGTTCCAGGACAGCTAAGCCTACACAGAGAAACCCTGTCTTGAGGGGGGAAAAAAAAAGGAATTGTAATGAACGGGAATTCAAGGATATTAAAACAATAAAATTTTAAAATTCAACTTAGAAACACACACAAGGGATGGTCCAGGACAGTGGCTAGAACATTTGCATGTCATTACAAAATCCTGGGTCCGAACTGTAGTATATATTTAAAAAGTCAGCCTAGCGGTGGTGCATGTCTTAAATCCCAGCAGAGGCAGGCAGATCTGAGTTGAAGGCCAGTCTGGTCTACAGAGTGAGTTCCAGGACAGCCAGGGCTATACAAACAAAGAGGCTTTATTAATGTAAAATTTACAAGGTATAACCATTTATTTTGGCATAATAGACTGAGAATGGATTATTTAATTCACCCTGTTTGTCTGGGTTTTGGAGGGAGTCTTTGCAGCCCTAGCTGGCTCAGAACTCTCTATATGGATCACATTGGCCTTGAACTCATAAAAAGATCCCCCTTCCTCTGCCTACCAAGTACTTAAAAACATAAGCCACCACAAAGTTTTTTTCTAAATATCAAGCAAAAATTATGACACAACTAATGATGGCACAACCAATGGTCACCAAAGAAGGAATATCCAGCCTAAGATATTGAGCTAAGTAATTTACTTACATGTTAGAGAGATTCCCCCAGACCACGAAACTGGCACATGTCAGAAAGAGATTTATAGTTTAAAAGGACCCAAATCCTAGCACTGCTGACATTCCGCGACAATCTGTGAATTTCCGGTTACTTAGCTTCTCTAAACATCAAATTTTTCAAAAAAAAGAAAGAAACCCTCAATTTTCTTTCTATTAAATAAAAACAGTTGTGAGGGATGCACATGGAAATTCCTTAGTCACAAGAATGGGTGCCAGCCAGCTGTGCTGGCACATGCCTTTAGCACTCCATAGGCAGAGGAAGGCTGATCTCTGAGTTCGAGGTCAGCCTGGTCTACAGAGCAAGTTCCAGGACAACCAGGGCTAAACAGAGAAACCCTGTCTTGAAGAAAAAAAAGAAAAAAAAATGTGTGTCAAAAAATTTAGAGGTGACGTGCCTACAACCTCAAGTAATTCCACAAAATAAAGACAGGGAAAAAGAATATAGAAGAATATACACAGCAAAGCAGTTAACTGTTGAAACAAAAGGTAATCACTTAATTTAGCTTCTCCTCTGAAAAAGTTTTTTTTGGGGGGGTTAAGATTCTGTCTCAAAAAACAAATGCATTCAGGAGGCAGAGACAGGAGGATCTCTATGACCTTATAGACCAGACCAGTCTACAAAGACAAGTCCAGGACAGGCAGGGCTGTTACACAAAGACATGGGGCAGGGGGAGTGTCCCTGGGTTCCATCCATCCCCAAAACTATCATCATCAAAAAATAAAATAAAACAAAATGTTGGAACTGAACCAACTTTTCGGTCAAACCCATTTCAACTGATTCTCAAATATCCATTTTGTTTGTTTTTGAGATAGGGCTTTTCTGTGTAGCCCTGGCTCTCCTGGAATTCACTCTGTAGATCAGGCTGTTCTTGAACTCACAGATATCTGTCTGCCTCTGCCTCCCAGAGAGCTGGGTTTAAAGGTGTGTGCCACTACCACCCAGCTCAAATAAATTGTTAAATACAAAAATCAAAGTGAAAAACTGTGCAGAATTGCCAGCTGTGAATTTAAATGTTCATGTATAAATCTCTGAAATGAAAAGAATATCCAAGATATAGATAAGTTATTATGGCAAGTAACTGTGTGTAGGATAAATGTTTTTCTCTATTCTACCATTTCCCCATCATTTTGTAACTTTAAAATTAAACAACAAAATAGGTCCTATTCCACTACACTATACTGAATGACTGACTCAGCAAAAAAAAAAAAACTGTCCCCATATCTAAGATAAAGTCTGTGTTGAAATATAAAATAGGTCCTGGGGTAGAGAGAAAAGGTGGGAGAGAGCACTCATTTAGAAAAGTTGCAACCCTTACTTAAAAGAAGCTGAGAAGTGTAACTAAATGGTAGAGCCTGTCACTGAGGCCCTAAGGCCCTAAACTCAATTCCTAGCAGTAAGAAGGGAAGAAGGGAGGGAGGGCTGGAGGGGCTGGAGGGCGGGCAGGCAGGCAGCAGGCAGGCAGCAGGCAGGCCAATCCAACCTGAGCTTCTGCTACATACCTGTATCACACATCACTTAAAAAAAATGAAGGAGGTACATTCACAAGTCTGGGGCCAGCCTGGGCTACATAGAGAATCCCTTTGGCCTTAAGGCCTTAAGGGAGGGAAAAGAGAGGCCCTGGGTCAATCCCCAACACCAGAAGGAGAAAGGGGGAAATTCAGAATTTACAGCTTCAAGCAAAAACTTAAGACTATGACACGTGATCATATATAACTTTATTACTGTCCATTACTACCTGCTTTACAAAAATGCAGTGGTAAAAAACCAACTCCAATCACTTCAATTTAACAAGGAGTTCGTTTTATTACATTTTACCAAATTTAACAACTGAACAATGAGAATGTAACAGTAGAATACTATACTTAAGAAATGTGCAAAAAATTCCTCAAAAATATATCCCCACTCAAAAATGGTTAATGGAAAACTGCTATATACAAACACAAATCTTGACACCTGGAAGAAATATACTATATCGACTCCTAAAGTCAAAATGCATACGCTTATAAAAGCCTTAATGGTAAACACCAGGAAACCCAAGAGGGAAAAAAGCCTTCAGGAGACGCTACCAATGAACCTCTCAGGCTACACATTAACAACAGGAAGATAGTGCTACAATAAATTAATAA